TGTATGAAGTTTGTACAAAATTTATGATAAAATGAAAGAGTCAGTCAGATTAATGGTGAAGGGATTGATCAAATAGGCCTATTGATGGAAGGTTTGCGAAGAAATGTCATGCTCCTTTCTAAAAGTATTTTGTTGTATTTTTTTAAAATACAAAATACAGTATTTTATTTTGATAGATTTGTGGCTGCTGTATTTTGTTGTTTATTTTGATCCACATAAAATTGAGATATCTGGTATTTTATTTGAGAATACATTTCAATGTGTTTTTGCCCATCCCTGCTACTTGGCATCATTAATAAAAATACAATAAAACATTATCCACTACACTGAAGTTGCAAACACCTCAATATAATCTATTTTTGTCGACAAGAACCCCCTGTTAGTACTGGAAATTTCTGGTTTACTATAGTGGAGATACCTAGGCTTTAAGGAAATTTACTTGGTTTGCAATACATGAGTGTATTTTATATTTCAACATGTTGTGTACAGTATAAACATTTAAGTGGAAATAGATAGTAAAGCGTCGGTTATTTGGGATAGTTGAAGTCAGAACTATTAGCCCCCCCTTTGAATTTTATTCTCTTTTTTTATATTTCCCAAATTATATATAACAGAGCAAAGACATTTTCACAGTATTTTTGATAATATTATTTCCTCTGAAGAAAGTCTTATTTGTTTTATTTTGACTAGAATAAAAGCAGTTTTTAATTATTTAAACACCATATTAAGGACAAAAATATTAGCCCCTTTAGGCTATTTTTTTCTTTGATAGTCAACAGAACCAACCATTGTTGTACAATAACTTGCCTAATTACCCTAACCGGCCTAGTTTACTTTATAAACCTAGTAAGGGTCTCCAACAACAGTCTAATATTCATGCAAGGTCAAAAAACACTTTCATGGTCTTATAATCTGCATTTATTTTTACCTAATTATTCCAGCGACTCCCGTATGAATCGTCCAGTGATTCATTTGTTCCCAAACCCCTCCTTAGCGCGAAGCTAGTCTGCGCTGATTGGACCAATGAAAGTCTGTTGCGATTGGTCGATTGCCTTCAGTCAGAGTGAAATGCCCAACAGCTAATCAGCAATATAAAAGTAATCAGAGTTCATTCACGCTCGATAGTGTAGGCGTGGATTTTAGCTGCCAGTGGGTCAATGTAAATACAGTCGATCGACTTGAAAATACAGACGACTAACTATTTTATTGATCAAAAACTCCAAAAACTGTCGAGGAGATCTCCTAGCTTGTCTTACTCTGCTCTTTTCACAGACACACACACAAACACACATATTGCCCTCGTCCTTGCACGCGCGCACACACACACAAAAACACACACACACACACACCTCCGGACGACAACGCGCGCGCACACACACACACACACACACACACAAACACACACACACATACCTCCAGACGACAGCGCGCGCACACGCACACACTACCCTCATCCACGGAGCTCCGTAAACAAAGCAGCACGCGTCACGTTTTTACGTGAACTTTGCACGCAATAAGAGAATATAGCCAGTTAACCTGATACAGTACACGCGGTTACAAGTAACAAATCCCAACTAAATACATTTGCAAGCTAGAGTCAACGAGGCAACAACTTTAATCGCACGTACTTACACTTGAGAAATGGAGGAAGCAACCCATCCTGACGTCCATCAGTAAGTTACTCTTTACTGATCCTTCCTTTAACAAACACCAATGAAGTATTCTTTGTAGCATGAAGTTTGCAGAAGTTTCCAACTGCTTGGTTATAATGCTGAGGTTTCATCTTTGTGTAGACCCTCGATAATATCCATCTGCAGTGTGACTTCAATCGACCGGCATGTTTGTGTGGGTGTGTGTGTCTGGGTTTCTATGTCAGAGGACGGGGCCTCAGGTTTGAAATCTCCCGGGTTTGCGCGTGCACGTGAATAACTTGGTTTCGTTAGTACGTCATGGCGAAACACCTAATGACTCGGTATCAAGGCGACTCGTTTGAAGCACTATGAGTCGACTCTTTTATAGATGAATCAACCGTTTCAAACACTGTACTCTTACAGATTTAAGCCTTAGCTGGATACTTCACTTCACTTAGAGCTTAGCCTCTGGTGGATTCGCAAAAACCAAAACTGCAAAAAAAGCAGCTCATATCTGGCACTCTCCAGAAATGTTTATAACGGTACGTTTTCAGAATGAGTCTAGGTTGGATTAATTGTTCACCTAACGATTAACAATGTGCGCTAGCAAAATAAACATTGTCATTTTTGATTTCACATTGACTTCAAGGCCTACATTTTTGTGTGAACATGTTAAAACCCTGTGGAAACCCTATTCGACCTATTGGTCGACCCCAACAAACAAGACTGATGTCGAATTTTAGATGGAAAATGGTGAATCTGACAAGAGTAGCATAATTTCTCCAACACGCTCAAAGCAGTTCAGGCGCTATACATAATGCGAGTCCTCCATGCTTCATAAAAACTTCACCTACAGGAATGAAGAAGCAAATAAAATATCAATTCCAAACTCTGCGCCTTTCAGCCATCAAACAGGCCTTGACTTTACCGCGGGGCTTCTTTTTGGGCAGGGGGTTATCATCAAAGGTGGGATCTGTTAGCCCTAATCGGCGCTAAACACTCGCTGACATCGCTCTACACTGTTGTGAAGCCTGATGGTTGCTGCTGCTGGCTAATGCTGCTAGCGTTAGTCACGGCTCAAGCATGTCTCGATAATTTACTAGAGCGAGAGGAGAAGGAAACAGATTTTACACTCATGATTAGTCTCTGAAACTACTCACGAGTTTTAAAAATAGTATGGTGAGTCCAGCACAACTGGAAAGATGAAAAATTAAAACCTGGACAGCAGAACAAATTAAATTATTTATATATATATATATATATATATATATATATATATATATATATATATATATATATACACACACACACACACACACACACACACACACACACACACACATATATATACATAGATAGATAGATAGATAGATAGATAGATAGATAGATAGATAGATAGATAGATAGATAGATAGATAGATAGATAGATAGATAGATAGATAGATTAATAGATAGATAGATAGATAGATAGATAGATAGATAGATAGATAGATAGATAGATAGATAGATAGATAGATAGATAGATAGATAGATAGATAGATAGATAGATAGATAGATAGATAGATAGATAGATAGATATGGCTAGAATAAAAGCAGCTTTTATTTTTTTAAAAACCATTTTAAGGTCAAAATTATTAGCCACTTTAAGCTATATTTTTTTAGAACTATAACTATCGTTACACAATAACTTACCTAATTACCCAAACCTGCCTAGTTTACCTAATTAAGCCTTTAAATGTCTCTTTAAGCTGTATAGAAGTGTCTAGAAAAAATATATCTAGTCAAATATGATGTACTCTCATCATGGCATAAATAAAATAAATCAGTTACTAGAAATGAGTAATTATTATAAATTTTCAGTTTGTCTGATAATATTTTTTCTTCTGGAGAAAGTCTTATTTGTTTTTAAGCCGTTTTAAATTTTTTAAAAACCATTTTAAGGCCAAAATTATTAGCCCCTTTAGGCTATTTTTTTTTTTTTGAAAATCTACAGGACAAACCATCGTTATACAATGACTTGCCTAATTACCCTAATTGGCCTAGTTTACCTAATTAATCTAGGTAAGCCTTTAAATATCACTTTAAGCTGTATAGAAGTGCCTTGACAAATATCTAGTCAAATATTGTTTACTATCATCATGGCAAAGATAAAATTACTCAGTTATTAGAGATTAATTATTATAACTATTATGTTTAGAATTTATTACTCTCTAGACAAAAAAAATATGTATTAGAAAGATGATGTATTTAATTACACTACACTTTTTAGTGCTATTTTAGTTACTCCAAAGTAATGCTATTGAGATACTATTGCTATTTTTATGAATTTTTTCAATGAATTTGTATTTTTTAAATATATGTTCTTTAATTTGAGATATTTTTGCTAGTTTTATTGTTAGTTTTACACAGTACTGTTTAAATATCAGGGATTTTACAATGTATTAAAATATATTTTTTAATATTAGTACTATTTTGTCCTAAAAATATTCTTCATATATTACATTAAATTACTGTAATTTTATAATTAATTTTAACATTTTGTCTTTGACATATTATGTTATAATTTTATTACAAATTAATAAAATAACAAAAGAAAATTATAAAAAATTAGTATTCAAATAGTTATACATATATGATCAAACAAATGGTCAAGACGATCTAAAGTTTAAACCGAGCATCAGAATGGGGAAGAAAGGTGATTTAAGTGACTTTGAACATGGCATGGTTGGTGGTGCCAGATCTGCAAATCTGCAGCAACTGAGCAATGCTATCATGTCAATATAGACCAAAATCTCTGAGGAATATTTCCAGCACCTTGTTGAACCTATGACGCAAAGGATTAAGGCAGTTGTTAAGTATTAGTACGGTGTACCTAATAAAGTGGCCGATGAGTGTATATAGTATAACATAATATATTACATTACATTATTCATTCATTTATTTTATTACGGCTTAATCCCTTAATTAATCAGAGGTTGCCACAGAGGAATGAACCACCAACTTATCCAGCATATGTTTTACGCAGTGGATGCCCTTCCAGCTGCAACCCATAACTGGGAAACATCCATACACACTTATTCACACACATTCACTACGGCTAATTTAGCCTACCCAATTCACCTGTACCACATATTTTTGGACTTGTGGGGAAAACCGGATTATATTATATTATATTATAATAATGATATTATAATAATGATATTATATTATATTATATTATATTATATTATATTATATTATATTATATTATATTATATTATATACAATGACATGAAAAAAGTGTCACAATACATTTCATAGTCCCGAAATAAAGGAGGTTTCCTTTTTTTTAAAAGAGAAAAATAATAGGAGTGAAATGTGATCCAGTCATGTTTTTAAAACACTTTATAATATTCATCACGCAATTGAACAGACAAAATAAATCAACAACATCAAAGGCATGTAGACAAATAAAAAAACAACTCTTAATATTAGAGCTGCGTAACAATCAGATTCTCCACACCACACGTCTTTCATGCGCAACCAAATCAGTCTTTTCAGCATCAAACCTGTCAGGAATTAATAACCAACACAGAACGAGTCCACTTACAGTCCTCCACCTCTCATCAGCTCTTCAATCAGCGCTAAGCCTTATTGATGTAGCCCTCTTTGATAAGGAAATCATAGATCTTGCGTGTCTTATTGACGTCGATCTTGATGAGCGATCGGGCCTGTGCAAGTCTCAGTCCCCCCTGCCGCCGGCACTCATTCAGCAGGGCTTGTTTGTACTCCAGATACGCCCCGGGCACCAGCCGCACCACCTGACACAGCTGAGCGACAACAGGAGACCAGCGGTTAACAGCCATTATACCACAGCAGTGAACAAGACTGAGTATGTTCAGAATGAGTCATTATCAAACCTCTTTCTCTCTCTCGTTGAGCTTCTCTGTGCCCGGCAGGCCTGTGAGGTTTAGTGGAGGGGCACTTCTTCTGCCTGGCAATCACAAAGACACTTCACATTAGCAAAATCAACAAACTACTTACATTTCCATTATTCAGCAGACTCTTTTGGCCAAAGCAATTTACAATTGAGGAGGCATTCAGTGATTCAACAAGAAGAGGCAATACACACAAGAAGTGCTAATTATACAAAGAAACTGTTAAGCCTACTATCCACTGCACACGATAAACGACAAGCGACAGACCGGAAGTCATTCATTTCCAATGGAGAGCAGTCCGGGAGCTGCGTGGAGTTCCGATCATCTACGTATGCAGAAAATTCGGATCCGAATTGAGCTGCGGATCCGTTGAAATATTTGAACTCCTGCGACTAGACCGTATGCGACCGACCAACCAGATGTGATGCATTCCAGTGTTGTATAAGCAGGACTGTGTCCGCGAGATGAGAAATAGGAGTTTTTTTGGTTATTTTTTAAATCAGAAAAAGTCTATATTAAAAAAAGAACATTTCTGTTCATAAATGTAAGTAATACAGTAATAAAAATATAATGTTTTATGTTGTCTCCACATTCCCTTATATATTTTTAGCGGTCTATGAGTTTCTTGTATTCATTCATTCATTTAACCATAGTGAACACATGGCGAATAAAAGCTTTTTCTTTTGCACTTCTTTACTTCGGACACTGCGAGATCAACTTCTCTCCCATGGTGCACGTCAGAACTGAAAATTCTGTAAGACTGCCACAAGGGGGCGTATTCCGATAGTCGTGTACGAATGACGAGTGCAGTGGAAAAGCGGCTTTAGTGCTCAGAAAACTTAAGGGTGATTTATTTAGAATGACGCATAGCACAAGCTCTGTAATTAGTCGACTTGGTAGCAGTGACGAGTGTGGGCAGTGTGAAGAGACGCGAGCTCGATTGAGCAAGAGTTTACAAGTGTCGCAAGCTTTTGTTTTGTGTTTAACTTTTGTCTTATCATTGTCTTATCAGTTTAAGCTACTTGTACATTAAGGTAGCATTCAGAAATAACAAAACACTCATGACTTAACACAGAGGAACATAAAAACCTACTGCCAGCTAGCGTTTCAAAAGTGTTACTGCAGAGCAACGCAAACAGCTCACCTGTGTGAATAAATGCTTCATAATTGCTCAATTTTGTTATTACTTAATTATTTTTTTCTTTGGAATGATGGTAAAAATGTGTCTGATGCAAATGTTCAAAAAAAAACAAAAAAAAAAAACAATATAAAGCACCAATAAGCTCTGCATTACAACGATTTAATAATGGGATATTGAAAGCTGTGCTGCCTTTATTAAAAACACATTTATTATTCATCATAACATTAATATTGAATAAAACTAATAACAATAATTATAAAAGTATTGTTGCAGGAAACAATGTAAAAAAATGAAATGTAAATTGTAATTAATTATAATTTTATAAGAATCATTTGCTAAAATTGTCTAATAATGAATGCATCAAGAAAATCCCTTTTCAAATCCTTCTCTTCTTCTTATTGACAACATAAAAAAGTATTTTTATAAGCACTGACAAAAGAATAGTATTTAAAATAGATTTTGAAAGAAAATCTGCATGAAAGCGGTACAGTAAGCACAGACAATATATATATATATATATATATATATATATATATATATAAACAGTTCTGTCTGGTTCCCCTTCGGTTGGGGAACTTCAGTGCCATGAATGGGAGGATTCGGATCAGAAGCCGCTTATCTGGAGAGTATTGAACGGGCCAATGAATGAAATTAATTGGCAGCGTAAGCTTGCGCAGGTGTGCGACATCTGCAATTATCTCAGCATATAAGCACACCTGAAGCCAGCAGACGCCATCCTTTTCGCTTCAGATCCTTTCTGAGTGAGTCGATGAGGGTTCCTCTTGCTGATCAGCACTTCAGAGCGAACGAGTGTGTCTCCCGGTCCAGAGTGGGTCTTCGCGGTGGCAGACGGTCGAGCTGGGTTACTCCCTTGCCTGCGGTTCTTTGGGTCCGGTCCTCCAGAGCGGTGCGTATAGTTGCAACTTTCCTAAAAGAGCAACACAGTCGTGCAGCACGTCCTTTTCAGGATGGCGCTCCGACTGTGCGTTTCTGGATGCGGGGGTTTCCTGTCTCCGGATGATGGACACGATCACTGCATTGCATGTTTGGGGGTCCAGCATGTTAATGCGGTGCTCGCGGGCGGTTCATGTCGTCATTGCGATGCCATGACCGTTGCACAGCTAAGATCGCGGCTAACTTTCGCAAGAGAGCGAGCCACCCCAGTTGCCTCCTGCTCTAAAAAAGCAGCGGGCGCTCGGGCAGATCTGAGGGTTTCAGCGGGAGCTAATCCGCCGCCCACGGGCTCGCGGACCTCTCGCTCCTCACGGCGCTCCATCCAAGCTTCGGGTGGTGAGAGTGATCCGTCTAACCAGATGGTAGCTCTCACACTCGCTGACACCGGAGATCAGATGTCCTCCGCGGCATCGGAGGGTGGGCTTTCACTGTCCGACGAAGATCCGGACCCGCTCGCCCCCTCCGGGCAGGTGAGCGCTGTCAAATCGGATCCTGAAGCGGACATGTTAGCCGTGCTTTCCCGGGCTGCTTCGGCCGTGGGGTTGGAGATGGTTTATCCCCCAGCTCCGCGGCCGGACCGACTAGATGGGTGCTACGTAGAGGACCAGAAGGCGAAGCCTTCGAAGCCTCTCGTCCCCTTCTTCCCGGAAGTGCACAGTAGGCTCACGCAGTCCTGGAGGGCACCTTTCTCTGCCCGTGCTGCGAGTGCCTCCGCCCTCACCGCCCTTGACGGCGGAGCTGCCAGGGGGTATGAGGCGATCCCGTCAGTGGAGCGCGCTATCGCGGTCAATCTTTGTCTGCGCGGCGCCTCTACGTGGCGGGGTTTGCCCCGCCTCCCGTCCAAAGCCTGTAGGTTGTCTGCCTCCCTCGGAGCCAGAGCTTATAAGGCTGCGGGCCAGGCTGCTTCTGCTTTGCACGCGATGGCCACCTACCAGCGCTACCAAGCGCAGGCGCTGGCCGAGCTGCACGAGGGCGGGTCCAACCCAAGCTTATTACATGAGCTGCGCACCGCGACCGACTATGCTCTTCGGACTACTAAGTCCGCCGCGTGTGCGCTGGGGAGGACGATGTCCACACTTGTGGTTCAGGAACGCCACCTCTGGCTAAACCTGGCCGATATGCGCGACGTTGACAAAGTTCGCTTTCTTGACTCGCCCATATCCCAGGCTGGCCTGTTCGGCGACACCGTCGGTGAATTCACCCAGGAATTCAAGGCGGTGAAAGAGCAGTCGGATGCGATGGGCAATGTCATCTATCGGCGTGGCCGTAAGCCCGCTCCGCCCGCCGAGCCATCCACCTCCGCTGTTCCTCGCCGAGGGCGCCCGCCAACGAGTGCTGCCCCGCCCCCGCCTGCGCCTCCGGCCAAGCGGGCGCGGCGTTCACCTCGAAAGCAGGCAGCCCCTCCTGCCCAGGGCGCCGTTAAGTCCGGTAAACGGACCGCGAAGCGTCCCTGAGACAGGCCATCCGGAGAAGAGGAAACTTGCTCTTTCCCCGCTGGAGGGCGGGGCCCCGATAACAACGGTACTTTTCAGTGCCACCAAAACATCAGTAAAAGAGCACTTTTTCCCTTCCCCGGATGTGACTGCACGAGTTCTGCCAGTCCGGGACGCGCTGCCTTCCGGCTCGCAGACTCTACGTGCTTCGCCAGTGGCTCACGAGCGCTGGGGGGACGGTCTCCCTTTCCTCAGCCCTCCAGCCCCCTCTCCGGAGTCAGGGTGCGGAGCCAGAGCGAATCGCTCTCCTCCAGCTCTTCCGCGGGACCCTCGTGCTTCCCGGATCAGCACACCCACTCCGCGCTGCCCCACCGCTGGTACGTCAGCGATTGTAGCGATGACTCCATTAGCGAGGGCTCTGCCTGCCTGGTTAGCGCGGGCCAGCCCCTCGCGGTGGCTCATACGCACAATCAGACTCGGTTACGCGATTCAGTTCGCGAAACGGCCCCCCAAGTTTACGGGCGTGTATTTCTCCAGGGTCAACCCCCTGTCCGCCCCTGTCTTGCGAGAGGAGATTGCTGCCCTCCTGGCGAAGGGTGCAATCGAGCCGGTTCCTCCAGCCGAGATGGAGAGTGGGTTTTACAGCCCATACTTCATCGTACCCAAAAAGAGCGGTGGGTCACGGCCAATCCTAGATCTGCGCGTTTTGAACCGCTGTCTGCACAAGCTGCCGTTCAGAATGCTCACGCAGAGGCGCATTCTCCAATGCGTTCGTCCTCGGGATTGGTTTGCAGCCATAGACCTGAAGGACGCGTATTTCCATGTCTCCATTCTTCCACGCCACCGCCAATTTCTGCGGTTTGCGTTCGAGGGTCGAGCGTGGCAGTACAAGGTCCTCCCCTTTGGGCTCTCTCTGTCTCCGCGGGTCTTCACCAAACTCGCGGAGGGTGCCCTAGCGCCCCTTCGGCTCGCGGGCATTCGCATACTCAATTATCTCGACGACTGGCTGATTTTAGCCCACTCGCGGGAGCAATTGATTATGCACAGGGACAAGGTGCTTCGGCATCTCCGCCTACTGGGGCTTCAGGTCAACCGAGAAAAGAGCAAACTCGCCCCCGTGCAGAGGATTTCTTTTCTCGGGATGGAGCTGGACTCGATCACCATGGTAGCGCACCTCTCCGAGGAACGCGCTCGCCTGTTGCTGAACTGTCTGAGGGAGCTCGACAGCAAACTAGTGGTCCCACTGAAGTTCTTTCAGAGGCTCCTGGGGCATATGGCATCCGCAGCCGCCGTCACGCCGCTCGGGTTGCTCCATATGAGACCACTTCAGCACTGGCTTCACGATCGGGTCCCCAGACGCGCATGGCACGCGGGCACACACTGGGTCTCAGTTACTGCGCTGTGTCGCCGCGCCCTCAGCCCTTGGAACGACCCCTCGTTCCTACAGGCCGGTGTGCCTCTAGGACAGGCGTCCAGCCATGTTGTTGTTTCAACAGACGCTTCCAACACGGGTTGGGGGGCCGTGTGTCGCGGGCATGCGGCTGCGGGCCTCTGGAAGGGTGCCCAGCTGCATTGGCATATCAATCGCCTAGAGCTGTTGGCAGTGTTCCTCGCTCTCCACCGCTTTTTACCGGTGCTGGAGCGGCAACACGTGCTGGTCAGGACGGACAGTATGGCGGCGGCGGCGTATATCAACCGCATGGGGGGTATGCGCTCTCGCCGCATGTCTTAGCTCGCCCGCCGTCTGCTCCTCTGGAGTCACCCGCGGCTGAAATCGCTGCGCGCCATTCATGTCCCAGGCACGCTCAATCGTGCAGCCGATGCGCTCTCACGACAGCTGTTACGCCCTGGAGAATGGAGACTCCACCCCGAGTCTGTTCAGCTGATATGGGCGCGATTCGGGGAGGCCCAGATCGATCTGTTTGCTTCCCCCGAGAACGCTCACTGCCAGTTGTTTTTTTCCCTGACCGAGGGCTCTCTCGGCACGGATGCACTGGCCCACAGCTGGCCTCGGGGCATGCGCAAGTATGCGTTTCCCCCAGTGAGCCTGCTCGCGCAGTTTCTGTGCAAGGTCAGGGAGGACGAGGAACAGGTTCTGCTAGTTGCGCCCCTTTGGCCCAACCGGACCTGGATATCAGAGCTCTCACTCCTCGCGACGGCCCTCCCCTGGCGGATCCCTTTGAGAGAGGACCTACTCTCTCAGGGACAGGGCACCATCTGGCACCCTCGCCCCGATCTTTGGAACCTCCACGTGTGGTCCCTAGACGCGAGGAAGACTTAGGTAACCTACCGACTGCGGTGGTTAATACCATCACACAGGCTAGAGCCCCCTCCACGAGGCGCGCCTACGCCCTGAAGTGGAGTCTATTCACTGAATGGTGCGTCTCTCGCAGAGAAGACCCCCGAAATTGCCAGATTAGTGTTGTGCTCTCTTTCCTTCAAGAGAAGTTGGACAGCAGGCTGTCGCCCTCCACTCTCAAGGTTTACGTGGCCGCCATCTCCGCTTATCATAGCGCGGTAGCTGGCGGCACCGTGGGAAAGCATAACCTGGTCATCCAGTTCCTTAGGGGTGCTAGGCGAATTAATCCATCTCGCCCCCCTCTCATGCCCTCTTGGGATCTCGCCCTCGTTCTCACGAGTCTGCGATCCGATCCCTTTGAGCCACTCGAATCAGTATCTCTAAGATTTCTGTCCCTGAAGACAGCTCTGCTGGTTGCGTTGGCCTCCATCAAGAGGGTCGGGGACCTGGAGGGATTTTCGGTCAGTGACTCGTGCCTGGAATTCGGGCCGGATTACTCTCACGTCATCCTGAGACCCCGCCCCGGTTATGTGCCCAAGGTTCCTACCACCCCCTTTAGGGATCAGGTAGTGAACCTGCAAGCGCTGCCCCCGGAGGAGGCAGACCCAGCCCTTTCTTTAATTTGTCCAGTTCGCGCTCTGCGCATTTATGTGGACCGTACTCAGAATTTTAGATCATCTGAGCAGCTCTTTGTCTGTTATGGCGGTCGGCAGCAGGGAAGTGCCGTATCAAAACAAAGATTATCCCACTGGATTGTGGATGCCATTTCACTCGCTTATTCGAGTCGAGGTCAGCCGTGTCCCCCGGGAGTTCGTGCACACTCCACTCGGAGCGTTGCATCCTCTTGGGCGCGTGCACGCGGCGCCTCCCTAACAGACATCTGTAGAGCTGCGGGCTGGGCGACACCCAACACATTTGCAAGGTTTTACAATCTGCGAGTGGAGCCGGTTTCCTCAAGGGTATTAGGTAACCCTTTGGTGATTGAGGAGACAACTCGGTAGGGTGTTGAAACACGCTTGCGGCGCCATTCTCCCTAACACGGAGGTACGTGCGCCTTTTTTATCTGTCAGTAAAGTTTCCCGTCAGGTGAGCCCTGCAGATTCCTCCGTGGCCCCCAGCACTGACTCAGCGGAGGAGTCACTTGCTGGCCCACTACGTTGTAGGTCTGCCCGCTGGTCAGCCCGCGTTTTGGGTATAGGTGCCTGCTATGCGTGATCCCCACTAGGCGATCCCATATGCTTATTCCGCCACGGTTAAGTCCCCCCCCTGGGTGGACCCGTGTCTTCCCTCTCCGCTAACCACTCTTTTGCTATGCGTACTCCCCCTTTTTAGGGCTAGTCCATAGGTAAATTCTGCCATCTATCCCCCCCTTGGGTAACGGATGGCCTCCGCAGCGTCCTCCCTATCGGGATTGCACGCTTCCCAACGTACTGTCGTATTTCCTAGAATTATCTAGATGCTCACGACTTCCCAAAAAATATATCTAAATCCGTAAAACTTCTGTTGAAGTAGGATAAATTAGGGCCAGGGACACGTTGGAGGACCGCGCCCCCCATGATGTGGGTGCGTCACGCTTGCTTGACTATCTCCTCATCGGGGGTGTTGGTAAGGTGCAGTCATTATGGCGCTTTCCATATTCTCCCATTCATGGCACTGAAGTTCCCCAACCGAAGGGGAACGTTCGAGGTTACAGAAGTAACCCTTCGTTCCCCGAGGAGGGGAACGGAAGTGCCATATTCCGTCGCCATAATGACTGTCCCTTAGCTGTTTGAAAGTCTCTTCAGCTTAAAAGGATGGCGTCTGCTGGCTTCAGGTGTGCTTATATGCTGAGATAATTGCAGATGTCGCACACCTGCGCAAGCTTACGCTGCCAATTAATTTCATTCATTGGCCCGTTCAATACTCTCCAGATAAGCGGCTTCTGATCCGAATCCTCCCATTCATGGCACTTCCGTTCCCCTCCTCGGGGAACGAAGGGTTACTTCTGTAACCTCGAACGTTCTCCAATCTGATTGGCTGATAGCCGTGATATATTATAAGTAATATCAGCACCCTGACAGCCTCTTTACGCTTTGTGTATTACTCCGCCTATATACAGCCAGCAAAAAGCAGACACTACAGATCTAAAGTTTAAAAGATGCTTGTTCAACTGTTTAACTGTCAGCTTATGATTTGAATCCGGAAGAAAGTAGTTCCACATACAAAAGGGTTTTTGAAACTCTCTGTGTTTGATTTTGTTTTTATATACACAATTATGCCGTCAAACTGTTGAATAAACGCATTATTACACTCGTAGCAGTGCGATATGGCTGTATATCGGCACTGGTGGGGGCACTAAGGAACTCAGCCTGCGGCCTCCCACCAGTGCCGATATACAGCCATATCGCACTGCTCCTTGTGTGATATTGCTCATATATATAGTTAGAATATTCAATGCATATTATTACATAGTAATGTAATATTGAATTTATTTAATAATTAAAAATATTATAAATATATACTGTATGTTGTAATATATATTTATAGCAAAATTATTATTATTATTAATATTATAAATGAGTTCAATCGGGACACTGTAAGATTCTGTTTTTATTGTCATTAGAATTTGTCTATAAAATTAATCTCGTAATATACTTGATTTAAAACAATTAAAAACATTACTTAAAGATTATTCATAAAATAGCTAAAATATACAAAATATTTCTAAATATATACAAATCTCATTTACCAACTTATTTATCAGAATCAGAGAATTCACATAATTTGAATAAAATTAAGTTGTCAAAATAATAATAAAAAAACGAAAACTCGTGTACAATGATAACATTTATAACAGAAATGTCACAAATTTCCTACATAACATATTCCACAACTATTCATTTTACAATAGAAGTAATTTAAAATACATGTAAAAATTTATGATAAAAAATTGCTGATAAAAATACTTGCATACCAACATATTTATAAGTATCAGAGAGTTATTTGAGAATTTCTAATTTTTGTATTACAGTGAAAATTACATCAAAATTAAATATCAAATTTTTTATAAATTGTAATTATAAGCTGATTTAAATATTTATTAATTAATAGAAAATAAACAATAATAAAACTATGATAAATCATTTTAAAAATATCACTATCAGTCCAATCTAAAATGACTTGGTTTTAAATCTCAATGGTTCACAACCACAGACTGCAATCAGATTCATATGCATTCAAATACGTCCTAGTTGTGCAGTGAAGTGACAAAAGCAGCCAAAATGTGAAAGCACAAAACACTGAAATACATGCGAGCTGTGTGAGTGGCTGGCTTTTTGTAGCCGGTATTTACAGCCGAATGTGTTTGAGCCTGCGGCTTCACGGCTGAAGAGCGCATCACAAAAGAGAGAGGAGGACAGGACACACAGCGTGAAAAATGCAAGAAATCAACAGCACTGTACCTGAGGTGCTGATAGTGCTGACCACAGGCGCGATTCCAGCGTCACTGGCAAACAAACACACACACACAGTTAGTCAACAGCTCAACAAACGCTTCTGAAAGACTGTCTGCGGCTCTTGAGCTTTTGAGCCAAATCAAATATAAAGTGATACATTGTTCACTTGGTTTGCATTTGCTCAATACTTACACGAAGCCACAAAAACACAAACAAACTGTCAGATAAAGAGCCACGAGCTGAATGAGAATGCTCTGTGGACCAGCAGACAATAAGAAGCATCACTCACACACACACGTGATGATAAAACAGCGCATGAAGGTAATATTATAGCAGACATAATAGTAAAATATTGCAGTAATATCATCACTGTGAGTTACGGAGAACGCCATGATGGAATGACAGTCTTATGAGTATAGATGGCTATTTAAAAGTTTGCAATCTGTAAGATTCTGTTCATTTGTTTGTTTGTTTTGAAATAAAATAAATCAGAAAAGACAAATGTAGCTTCAAACGGCTCTAAACTATTTAAACTAAAGAATTAAATCTGCAAGCACTGATAAAAGGAATCTAGCACCCATGCTTACCGCCGCCCGGAGGCCTTAGGATGACAGAGAACAGTGAACAAAAATAATTTGAACAGATATATATATTAAAAATCTAAGAAAATTACAGATTTTTGTCAAACTTCCTTCTGTCAGCAGGTAGCGCTATGACTGTGACTCAATATCTATATATCTTCAGGAGAGAAATCTCATCGACTATGTGAAAACTCTAGATCTTCACTATTTAACATCACAAAGGACTTTGAATTATACTGACAAAACCTGGAATCAATCTGATAAAATTTGTAGGAAGAGTTTGTTACACTGTAAAACGTTATTTCCTGTTGCCAGCAGGTTTCACTGTAACTGGATATTAAAAGTTATTGGCCTTGGAGATGTTAAATTGCGAATATCTAGAGCGTGTCTGTGGTGGCCTCGCAAACTTTGACGAATCTCCACGAAACAGGTAGTTTTTATAACTCAGGCATGCACTGTCTGATCTGCCTCAAAATATACGTTTGATAAGAGTCCTGACCTGAACACATTTACATGTTAATATCCAGTTACAGTTATATATACATACATATATACAGGGCTTGACCTTAACACCTGCCAACCCGTCAAGTGCGGGTAGATTTTAACTGTAGCGGGTTAGACAGACACCCCCACTAGCCACTTTGGCTGGTTGAAAATAATAGGAGATGATAATTTGCAGAGCTGCCTGGACCCTAAAGATTAGTATGTTAAAGATTGTTTGTTAATATGCACGCAAATGTGATCTTAGAACCGAGAAGCAGCACGATTGATAACTTTTCATGTGAGGAAAAGAAAGCAGGTGAATACCAAATGAGAGGATGATCGGGCGCACGGTAGACACAGGTGATACTCACTCACTGACGTTGTGAGCGAAGCACAGCTGATTTGAACCACGGGAGTGCTTAAAAGCTCCTGTTCTCTGACGCAAAACAACCGGGACTGGTAATGGTGTGATCATTTCTCTTTGAAATAGACTGGAAAAAAGCGGTGCTCAAGCACCCACTGTCCTGCTGATTTCAGGAGCTCCAGATTGTTTGCATGCAGCCGCTATTGCCGCTTTTGCTTATGTGGACATAACACATCATTTAAATCAAGCAATTTTAGCATGCCAAAATCAAATGTATGCATATGAAATATATTTTTCCACAATTGTGGCTAGTGAAAACGGCAAGTGGCTAGTAACATTGGAAAACTACTAGCCACAATGGCTAATGATCAAAAAAGTTAATGTCAAGCCTTGTGTGTATACATACATACATACATACACACACTATATATATGTATACATTTTTTCATTTATTTTAATATATATTTTTTATATAAATATATATATAAAATAATCGTTTTTTAAAATTAATTGAGGTAAAATGTTCAATTAATCAAGAGTTTTATTTTAAGCCAAATCGCCCAGCCCTACCCATTTTGATCTCAAAAATGTAAAAAAAGATGAGGAGTTTACATCCATGAACTCAATTTGTGCTAACACTCCTTATTTTAGCATTTTTCCAAACTGTGCTGAAAACTAAGCAGCACTGGGGCAGGGGGATTCATGACTCATGTAATAATACATTTTAACAAAAAGGAAGCAGTATTGTGAGTGAGTGAGGAAGAGATCTTACATGGCAGCTTGTTTGTGCAGCCACTGCTGGCAGGCGCGGGTGTCATGAATGTACTGCAGGACGTCACAAAGCATGTTCCTCTTCCTGCGCTCATCCTCTCGTGTGCGTTTCACTCGCTCATAGACTTTAGCACCTGCAGACCAGATGACAGGTGTCACTTCAGATATGAACATAGATCTCTGTATGTGACATCTGGCTAGCATTTTAAAAAGCTGTGGTCAGAGCGTATGGACCATATTCAGATGAGATAGTGCTTGATTCTGCTTAAATCATCACTTGTTGACTGTGTTCTAATTTAAACTGCCTCTATATATTATTTAAAATTACCATCCACAAAAATTTAGCTTGATTTAGCATTTTTTATACATATTTTCACATTTTTAAGTTGATCTTTTCTAAATATTTGTAAACATGTAAAGGAGTGAAAATTGTTCACTGATATCTACATAACAGGTCTGTGGCTCAGGTAAGCAAAAAAAATATTTAAAAAATCTCCAGAAACAATCTTTAAGCACTTTTACTTAGCAGTATACGTGTGTTTGTTGCCTCATCACATACATACACAGCGAATTATATACTTTAAACTAACCAAAGGTAGGAGTTAAACAGACCTTATGCCTCTTTAAGGTGGTGCTGAATACATTTTTAATCCGTATATCCTGCATTTTGCATTCTGACAAGTTGTGAGCACTTAGTGGTCATGCATAGCTGCCTACTTCACTAAACTGTTCCTTTTTTAATCTCCCTGACTGTTCCTATTTTTAAAACAAGAGACCCACATGCATAGTATGTTTAATACAAGCTTATATAAAGTTAAAAATAAGGGGAAAATAATAATTGATGTAATCTCACTAGAAAACGTTGTGGCCAATCAAACACTGCCTGGGGCGTTCATTTAAATGATTCTGTGTGGATTGTCAGAGTTTGTGTTTTGTTCCAATTGGCCGGATTTTCACTGGGATTTTACACTCACAGGATTTGTTGGAGAACAATAACACATTGATATTTGAGGCTCATGATATGTAATTTCCATGAACTCTTATTATTCAGCTATGCCTAGGTATATCCAAAATGTCATTCTATGGCACATTTAAGAATTTTCTGACAACTTGAATGTTACTTTCTCAACTCAATACTAGTCACATATTGTTTATAATTAATTATAAGACTTTGCGTATTATTTAATAACTCTATATACTTTATAGCTGTTTATATTTTCACATTTATTTCCTTTTTTTTACCTTGTACTGTTCTGAATTCTGGATTATATTGAAAGGAACCACTGTCAAAAAATGCTCCAATGTGTTCACCATTGGTGAATGTGGTTATACTCATGACAGGTACTATTTGGTCATTACTAAGTTGGCAACCGTCAAATGTCATTTGGGAAAAGGTTTGAATTTCTGGTTAGTAAAATACTGGCACTAAATTCATACACTATGTGTGTAAGTACATAAGTACACAGTGAGTAAGTGCATGGTGTGTAGTATCCCGTACTTATGACTTTTCATAACATCTGACCAATCAGAACATAACAAAGGGGGTTTAAAAAAACTGCATTAATGAACCATCTATTTTATTAACTGTGTGAAAAGAGCTGAGACTACAACATACTGACCACTTTATTAGGTATACCTGTTCAATTGTACGTTAACGCAAATTTTTAATTAGCCAATCACATGGCAGCAACTCAACGTATTTAGGCCTACAGACATGGTTAAGACGATCTGCTGCAGTTCAAACTAAGCATCAGAATGGGGGAAAAAAATTTAAGTGACTTTGAATGTGGCATGGTTGTTGGTGCCAGATGAGCTAGTATGAGTATTTCAGAAACTGTTGATCTCCTGGGGTTTTCACGCACAACCATCGGAGGATATTTGAATGGTAGGGTCAGAAATTGGCGTCAACAACATGAAAGCATAGATCCATTCTGCCTTGTATCAATGGTTCAGGCTGCTGGTGGTGGTGTAACGATGTGGGGGATATTTTCTTGGCACACTTTGGGCACACCAGTACCAATTGAGCATTGTGTGAACGCCACAGCCAACCCGAGTATTGTTGCAGGCCATGTTCATCCCTTTATGACCACAGTGTACCCCTCTTCTGATGGCTACTTCCAGCAGGATAACGCACCATGTCATAAAAAGCGTGAGTCATCTCAGACTGGTTTCTTAAACATGACAATGAGTTCACATTGTCCTCCACAGTCACCAGACCTCAATCCAATAGAGCCATTTGGGATGTGGTGGAATGGGAAATTCGCATCATTGACAAATCTGCAGCACCTGCGCGATGCTATCATGTCAATAAAGACCACATTCTCTAAGAGATATTTTAAGTACCTTGTTGAACCTATTCCATGAAGGATTAAGGCAGTTCTGTAGGCAAAAGGGGGTCCAACCCGATACTAATAACTATGTAATAAGTATGTTAACTGTGAGTAATAGAGTGTGTTTTTTAAAACCGGAAATGGTTTGTAAAATGTTTAATAATGTTTAATTATGTGGTTCCTAGCTATTTGATGAATTATTTTCAAATGGTGAAGCAACAGCATTTATACAGTACTAGGAGTTGGGATTTTAATATTTGTTTATTTAAATTTAGAAGTTTAGTGGGGAAAAATATGTTTTTATATACAAGTGCAATCATGTGGAACAAACTACCAAAATCAATTAAGGAAATAAAAGATTTAAGGTTGTTCAAAAAAGCTATCAAAAGATGGTTGTTTGATGAGGATAATTAGTTTGCATGGTGGACGAGGATCTTTTAAATTATATGTTACTTGAGTGTGAATAGGTTTGCGGCTGGAAGGCCATTGGCTGTGTGGAACATGTGCTGGATGGGTTGACTGTTCGTACCGCTGTGGCGACTGTTTGTTTTATTTCTTCATTAGTATTTTGAATACATTGTTTTTATTTAACAGAGGACCACAATGGAAATAAGCCCAGGGCTTTATTGTGTTTTTTTTTCACAAAGTGTATGGAATACTTTTTGTACAGTTTGTCTAAAATCTGTCAAATAAAATAAAATTCAATTCAATTCAATTCAATTCAATTCAATACATTTTATATGTACCCAATAAAGCAGCCGGTGAGTGTATTTAATGATAAAACGAAAGTGATTTTTCTCCTTGGTGAATGAAAAACCTAATTTTGAAAGCTTAAAAATAGCACCGTGACACTCTGATTTATGCTACCTCCTATGATATGCTTGTGATTGAGGGTGCATCTTACCGCAGAAGGACTGTATTCCCTCGCTCCTGTACTCCTGCAGTCTGTGGATCTCCCTACGCAGCTCAAACTCCACTGTGAACAGTTGATGACAGAGAGAGAAACAGAGCAGATGGAGCGCTGAACTTTTCACCCTGGCTGATTCAGACTAGTGGGGCGGACAGACTGAACTCAGACTGAGTGCTGCTGAATGACATGAGGGCTTGTTCGTCTAAATCTAGCTGTCCTGCACACACTCACTGAACCACAAAGACACACGGCTAGATTGATCTCAGGTCAGCTGAAGTCTGGTAAACTAGCGAGTCCGGTAACAGCAGTGTTCTGGATTTCTTTATATCGACTGGTTGAAAAGAGGGTTAAATACTCACAGGTGTGACTCTCGATGAACTTGTCGTGCTCTATTGGTCCCACCACACGGGCAAAGCGTCTCATGACATCATAAAGGTCCTGCACTTCCTTGGGATAACGCCTCTCCAGAACTGACAACACAGAAGATGCACAGAATTAATCAATCAATATTGGTGGGCGGGGGGACCGCACTTCTACAGCAAGTTGCGGTCGCTCTAAGAAACCGCTCCAATTGGTCCACCGTTTTTGTTGTTAAATTGAAAAAAAAAGGACTGTGTGTGTTTATATCATCCCAATATGACGGTCTATACACTATACTTACACATCTGTCCAAACAGCTTGAAAAGTAGATTTTTTTTTTACCATAGGTGCCCTTTAAAATCTACATCGAAAGCGGAAAAAAACAGTCCTCATAAAGCCGGCGTATCAGTGCGCTGCTACATTGAAAACAGGATTGGATTCGCACCTTCTGATTGGTTCTCGGGATATAGTGGCTTTTGCTGTCAAAGGCAAGTGGCGTTTAGCAGCTTAATAGATTGCCTAATAGATACATTTTGATGGCCACAGAAAGGAGACAAAATTGAAAATACAGACAAATCTGTTGACTCATGCATTTTACGTTCACTTTTAAATTTGCGCACTAGAATATGGACTGTTGTGTAAACTGCATGACTAGTTAAAAACATCATTCAGCAACCAATGAAGCATTTCAGTAACAGATCCTCCTAACAGTTTGCCTTTTGTTGCTGTATGCCATTTTGAGTTTTAGGCAAGTTTGTTGTGTTTGTTTCTGACATTTTCAGAATGCAATAAATTAGTTTAATATTTAAAGGTGCGTGTAAGGGGAAACACGTGAAACATTTGAGGACACAGCGAATGAAATTAAAGGCAGAGGAATGCAGCTTGCAACATCGTCTGGCACTTTTACTAAGTACATTTACAAGGACACCAATACTCTGATTTTAATATGATTCAGACAATACTCTGATTAAGAGTTCACTATGTAATCAGAAACTTTTGATAACCCTAAAGGAACACAGACACCCGCGTCACAATTTATTTCTTTTTTTTCCCATTCGGTGTGCGGTATCAAAATCCATTAAAACTACACTCTTCCAGCAGTCCTTACTTCATATTCGCCTCCGATACCTCAGTTTTTTATGGGGCATGAACAATATGTTGCTAAATAAAAGTGAAACTGACAAACTGCAGGTAAAGTTGAAAAACTATGGTGAAAAACTGGTGATGCAATGACGTTAATCAATCCTTGTGCTATAACATGTAAAATGGGATCATGAAAGGAACATTCAAAAAGCAACTAATGTAAACATCTTAATCTTATTATCGTCTTATTCAGATAAAAGCAAATAATTAGATTACTGATGTCCATGTAAACATAGTCACAAGCCTCAACCCTAAAAAAAAAGGTGTTCCCTGATTTTGATTACAGCCTTATCACAGGTAAATAGTAAGTTAATGTGATGGTAATGCAAATCTTATATTCATGCTAACAAACAAATGATCAAAATATATATTAATGCAATTCAAATCAAATATATAAAATATGAATTGATGCTTACTTTAAACTTTAATTATATTGTTTAATTAAAATGATAAAAACATTGTCAAATAAAAGATTTTTCTCATCAAAGATTTTTCATCCACCATCATTTTGTGGCTCAAAAATATCGTTTTGGCACCGGTACCGTTTTAAAAGTATTAATTTACCACTGGTATTAAAATAACCCCAAATGATAACCAACCTTACTTACAAAAGATTCCACTTATCTTAATAATGCAAATCATATGCATATCACATATTTACCATATAAGTTTGCTTTTGGATTTCACAAAGTCATACATGTGTATATATATTCAACATATATTTCAAAATATTGTACAAATTGCTGGTATATGGGTTATAAACATATACTATAATTTTATATATATTATATATTCATATTTGGCTACATATAAATTTTTTGTATGGGCTCCAAATGTATAAATAACCATCAATGTATCAAGTCAGACAAATTATCGTCAAAGCACCAAAACCAAAGCCAAATTTCATAATTGTGACAGCCCTAATTTTAACCTACATCACAGCAGTGTCCATTTATAAAGGATGTAGGCTGTTAAACATACATGCAAAAAATTTACATAACACAGCTCTCCTTTTGAACTTGCTAAATAAAACAATACAATAACAAGCTAAATTTGCTAACTGAATCACACCAGTGGGTGTTTACTTCCAAGTCTACAATCCACTACAATCATTCACACAGTGAGTTCTGATGAAGAGGGCAGAAAACAGGCAGAAAATAGCCTATTATAATTCTGAAATAAAACAAAACTATATAATTTCCTATATTTAGCAAACAAAAAAGGCAATTCATGACCTCTTTATACTCTATAATGTATCCATAAAAAGTATACTATAAAGTATACTTAAAGCTGTAGTATTCTCACTAGGTTCTCGAAGATCTGTTACACCAGAACTTTCCATAGTATGCATTTAAATGCTGGCCTCGTCTGAAAAATGAAACGGGCACAGTTTCAAGAGTCCAACTGTGCCGAGCGGCCCTGTGAAAGTCTCCCTGATGGTTCTTCACCCATCACTGAAGCTCTGCACTCTGGGAAGGGTTGAGCGAGCAGCACTATCAGCCATCAGCCCTGCTGCTGTTGAGCGAGAGTGATAGAAACAGAAAGCTGCTATATGGGTGAGTGCGAGATGTGATATTCTGCCTTCGCTAGAAACACTCGCATACATATCGTCCTGTCACTCCACAAATAATATATACATATACAGCTTTGGAAAAATTAAGACACCACTTAAATATTGTACATTTTTCTGGATTATTTAGGCATGGATTTCAGTAATAATAATAATTCCTTTCATCTATATAGCGCTTTTCTGGACGCTCAAAGCGCTTTACACACTTTTGGGGGGAATCTCCTAATCCACCACTAGTGTGCAGCATCCACCAGTCATATGTGATGGCAGTCATATTGCGCCAGACCGCACACCAGCTGATTGGTGGAGGAGATATAGTGGGCAAATTTGGTCAGGATGCCGGGGTTAAACCCCTACTCTTTTTCGTAGGACATTGTGGAATTTTTAGCAACCACAGAGAGTCAGGACCTCGGTTTAACGTCTCAATCAAAAGACGGCACTTACTGAGCAGTATAGAGTCCCCATCAATATATTGAGGCATTAGGATCCACACAATCCGCAGGTTGAGCTCCCCCTGCTGGTCTCACTAACGCCACTTCTGGCAGCACCTAGCTTTCCCATGTGGTCTCCCATCCAGGTACTGACTGGGCGCAGCCCTGCTTAGCTTCGGTGTGTGACCATGTGAGAGTAGCAGAGAGCTAGCTGACAGTAAAATGTTTATAATATTATTCTATTAACCTCTGAAAACATTTGTTCTAAATTTTACTTGAAACCACTGTCTATTAGAGCTTTCTTTCATAAAATGACAGTTGGTCAGAATAACAAATGTTTTTCTTCCAGGAAATAATTATTAAAAGCTAAAACTGTACCGTGTTAAAATAATAATACAAACGTCTAAAAAAATGGTACCTTATTTGTCATTTTATGCAAAAAGACAATAATCTGATGTGAAATGAAATTGGTAATTTACTAAATAATATTTTTATTTCTCAAAAACAACTACATTGTCATTTAGAGCTTAAAGTCTGTGTGAAATCAAAAGTTACAATGTTTATTGTATTGTTATTCTTTTTGTGAATAATTAAGATAATCCACTGAAAAAAGATACGTTTTTTTGGTAATCTTTAAAAGATTACCATCCTTTTCTGTTGACGTCAGTTTGATGGTATCAGATGCATTATTCTTAGCCATGCCCCTCCTACCAATAGTTTCTTATGAGGGAATGATGCACAAAAAGGATGCCCCGCCCCCTACTCAATATTCCATTTCAGTACAACATGATGAAATAAAAGTCTGAACAACTCTTGATCTCTCTGTTACTTTAAAATAACAAACAAACTGCCAAGATTACAGATGTTTACATTGTTTACATGTTCACAGAAGAGTTAAGAAAAAATATTTTGTGGAATAATCCTGATTTCCAAAATTAAAATGTTTGATTAAAATGTGGCTGTTGAGCGTATGCCTTGGAATCAATGCTAATAAGCTTAGGGTGCCAGTTTGTCATTTTACATACACCTAGTAAGAAACATCTGAACTTTTCCAAATGCTGCGCGTGTATCACAATTCATGTAAGTAACTAACCAATCTGCTTCAAACTTTGTATAGAATATACACATTTCAGTAATAACGGCAGACTAATTACCTCAGACAAAGACAGCGCACCCAAACACCAGTGCTTTTTACTTTTCTCCATAAACATGCATCGGAGCTGCAGCAATGATTTGTCTATTTGTTATCCCAAGAAATTGATCGCCTAGTAGTAGACGCCATAGAAAATGGTGAAGGAAATCGCACGCTTGTGCTTGTCACTTCAGGTCAAAATAACAACACACGGGAGTGCCGTGGCTAGCAGCAATGGGGCGATTGTAAATAAAAACATGTAAGGATGTCACCAGAGTGACTTTTTGTTTTCTTTTCTTGTGCATCCCAGCCGCTAGCTCCCCATATGAAAGATTTTTTTTTAGCATAGGGGTAATGTAGTCATTCAACTTTACAATTTGTAATGTTGCAATATGTATTTGAATAATGATGGATAGTTTCTTTACTTGAAAGCTCAGATTGGATTATCATAATTTGTTTTATTTAGAGAGTTTGAGGTTTACTGAATAATTATTATTCACACCTTACAAATGTTGATCTACCTTTACCGTTGCACACACTTTGTAAAAGTTTATTTATCAAGTTTAAGAGTCTCTCATAACACTTTTGTTTATTTAATTACAAAGAGATGAGATATTTTGTTTAAATATTTTTGTTTTTGACTATTAAAACTATTTGCCTTAGTAATGTTGGTAAATTACAATAAAGTTCAGGGTTTCTGCAGATATCAAATTGTCAAATTTAAGACTTTTTAAGATCTTTTTAAGACCATTAAGCATTAAATTTAACAATTTTAAAAACATGCATACACAAAGAGAAAATGCAAAAATCACAAAATTTGTGGGAAAATAAATGTATTCAAATTGAACAGTACTGAAGACAGGTTAGATGCATCATTGAACTACAGGAAAAAACAAACAAACATCTTAAGGCTGATTTCTACTTTCGCCTTGCACCACATCACACAGCTTCGCGGACTGTGCGCGCACCTCAAACAGACGAGGCTCTTTAAAACGACAGGGGCGTTCAAAAGAAAGCCATCGTAAAGTCAGACGGATAAACAGAAGAAGGACGTTTTCAGAACTACGTCATTTCATTAATATTGTTCAATATTTTTAAACAATTTCTTTTTTAAATGATTGTAAAGATTTTTATAACTATTTAAGATTTTTCAAATCACACTTTGATGCATCACTTGCTGTTGTTCATATTTCGGACAGTTCTACCTATTAAAGTTAAATATCAATGAAAACAGAACATGGGTTGCTCTACAATTATGTTGCTCTACAATTCACACATTACTGTCGAACAATCCTGACCATTATCACCAATAAAGCCTAAAAAAATGGCATTAGTATATTGTAAACCGATAGGTTCAAATATACTTTTCCAGTTATCAAAGAAATAATTTATTCCTTAATTATAGTTTTGTAACTATTACATTGTTTTAAATTCAAAACTGTAATATATACTGTACATCAGTGTAAAACCTAAATAGTGGAAAAACATATTCTGTAATTGTGTACCTGGTTCACTTTTGCCAGGGCCTCTTTTGGTTTTAACAAACTTATCCCTCAGGTTTTTCCAAATTTTTTAACAAAAACTTTCCTCCTTTCCCACTGCTGTTGCAATTTCTAGCTAAGAATTATGGTTCATCTGGTTATTCCTATGATCACAGATATATGGATCATAAAGATGTCTGTACAGCTATATCTGTTTGACAAAATCTCTTCAAAGTGATTCATATTCAACTCAAATGTAATTCTTCACTCGAGTCTCAAAAAGTTCAGTGCAGTCCGCCAGCCGAAATCACGTCAAGCGCACCCAAAGCGAACCTCCGCAAACTCTGCAATGACGTCACATTCGCCGGGCGCACTGAGTTCAATAACAGAAAGCTGATTGGCTATTGCATGTTGGTCTCATTTGTAGGTGTAATATCGCGAATTACATTTGGACTAGTGAAATAAAGAACTACAACACCACGAAAACCAAGAAACAACAACAAAAAATAATTTAAATGAGCATTAGAAGTAGCGTTACATGGACAAAATAAGACTTGCGCAAAAATATTTAAGATCTTGAACAGCGAATTTTTAGGGTCTAAAATTTCCATTTTTAAATTGTAAAAAATATTCAATAATTATTGATATGGAATGATATGATATTGTAATATTTTTTTTGCAATATCGCCCAGCCCTAAAACCAACAACTGAAAACATTTGCTATTCTGCCCAATTGTCCTATCCTGGCGAACAAATAAACCCCTTTGTAGAATAAAACAAATACTATTATTTTACTCCAACCAAAAACAAATCCAGAGCAACTTTTCCATTGGCGGTCTCAATTTTATGGTAGCTGTACATACACATCCTTCAGGATATATCAAACAACAAAAGCAGTGCTCTCCAAGCAGCAGTGGCTGATGGGTAACAAGACTGTCTGCTGTTTGCACGGCCAGGTCAAGCAGTCTTGCTCTCCTGAATCAGGGATAAACCAACACCGCTGCGAGCCATCAGGTCTTGGCCACTGCTTCCATTATCACTCGAAACGCGCGCGCACACACACACATTCCTGCAGTTTCCATGACAACAAGGCTGCAGTTCGGCAGTAATATCGCTTCTCTTTTGTCTTGAGCATGCAGAGAGACGAGGAGGGCGGCTGGAGCCCATAGATAAATAAAAACGACTTAAAGCCCTCCTCGCATCACAAACACTCAGTACGTCTCAGGAAAACATGCTGAACCCGAATGGTCTCTTTTGTATTCTTCCTTTCGCTGCACGTAAAGAGTAAATAATTGGATAAGCGTATTCCTATCGAAGTGGCTGGGCGAGTGAAATGTCCAGGGGGAAATAGCCAGGGACGGGGTTTCTATTTACTGAGAAAAGGCGACTCGCTGCCCAGAGGGTGCCGATCAATAAAGCCTCGTAAAGATGCAATCTCTTTTGTCATGATAGTCGAAATGTTCATTTCATGCCAAACTGTTCATAGGGGAGCAATCACAGCTGGCGAAAACTGCTCTGGGATCAGTGTTGATCTGGGAGAGCAGTTTTCCGGCTGCTGGCTGTAAACATTTCACATAGATGATGTTATTGGAGGACAGGGAGGGTTGTGGATCTAACTTGTTGTTTGTGTGTGGAAACCAACCTGTGAGAGCTTGAGCGAGGAACTTCAGCTCACATACTGAGGATAAATAATAGGGATGGCAGACTGCTGGAGTGCTTGGTTAATATGATGCACGACAGCATGTTTAAAAGAAAAAAAGCACTGCTTACTCTGAAACTTGCGTAGGTTGATGAGGCCGTGATCCCGAATGATCCTAAGAGACAGAGATTTCATTTTAAACAAGTGCTGTTTTTTTTTTAAATCCTGACTTAATTCTTTTTTATTCACAATTTCAACAAATATAAAACATTTTTAAAAGATATTTTTAAGGAATATTGTTTTCAAATCAATACATTGGAAAGATTTTTGGTAACACTTTATAATAACTGCACACTTTGAGTCATTAGCAAATAATTGATTAATCATTTCTTAAGCATTAACTCTACATTATACATTAGCAAACAGTTCATAAATACAGCTACAAATGCTGTATTCTTGACTTATAGTCACTTTCTTTGATTCTGAAATGTTTGATTTTTGATTCAATTTGCATTACTAGACTAAGTATTGCATTATATACAAACCAGATATTTAGGAGTAGTTGGTGATGATGAATTAACAAATGATGAATTGCCTATTTGCTACTTAAATGATTCATAGGGTGGAGTTATTATAAAGTGTTATCGGATTTTTGATTTCACATGATTTCATGTGACATTGATGATGAGAAATGCTGTGGGAGATTAATAAATTACACAATATTAATATAATATCATCAATGTTGATCAAATAAATGCTGCCTTTATGAGAATAAAAGATGTCTGAAAACAATGTAAACAAGCAACAAACAAAAATGTAATAAATCGATATATACTATATACAGTTGAAGTCAGAATTATTAGCCCCCCTTGGATTTTTTAAATATTTCTTAAATGATGTTTAACAGAGCAAGGAAGTTCTCACAGAATGTCTGATAATATTTTTCTTCTGGAAAAAGACTTGTTTTATTTATTTCGGCTAAAATAAAAGCAGTTTTTAATTTTTTAAAAGCCATTTTAGGGTAAAAAAAATATATTAGCCCCTTAAGGTATATGTTATTCCGATAGTCTCCAGAACAAACCATCGTTATACAATAACTTGCCTAATTAACTTAATTAAGCTTTTAAATGTCACTTTAAGCTATATTCTAACCTCAACTATATATATATATATATATATATATATATATATATATATATATATATATATATATATATATATATATATATATATATATATATATATATATATATATATATATATATATATATATATATATATATACACAGTTGAAGTCAGAATTATTAGCCCCCCTGACTTATTAGCGCCCCTGTTTATTTTTTTCCCCAATTTCTGTTTAATGTAGGGAAGATTGTTTCAGCACATTTCTAAGCATAATAGTTTTAGAAACCTATTTCTAATAACTGATTTATTTCATCTTTGTCATGATGATAGTAAATATTATTTGACAAGATATTTTTCAAGACACTTCTATACAGCTTAAAGTGACATTTAAAGGCTTAACTAGGTTAATAAGGTGAACTAGGGAGGTTTGGGTAATTAGGCAAGTTATTGTATAACAAAGGTTTGTTCTGTAGACTAACGAAAAAAAATAGCTTAAAGGGGCTAATAATTTTGTCCCAAAATAGTTTAAAAAAAAATAAAAACTGCTTTTATTCTAGCTGAAATAAAACAAATAAGACTTTCTCCAGAAGAAAAAATATTATCAGACATACTGTGAAAATTTCCTTGCTCAGTTAAACATCGTTTGGGAAATATTAAAAAAAAAGAAAAAAAATCAAAAGGGGGCTAATAATTCTGACTTCAACTGTATATAGTTGAAGTCAGAATTACTAGCCTTGCCCCTCTGAATTATTACCTCCCTGTTTATTATTTTCCCTAATTTCTGTTTAACAGTGAGAAGTTTTTTTTTTTTTTACACATTCTAAGCATAATAGTTTTAATAACCCATTTTTAATAACTGATTTATTTTATCTTTGCCATGATGACAGTAAATAATATTTAACTAGATTTTTCAAGACACTTCTATACAGCTTACAGTGACATTTAAAGGCTTAACTAGGTTAATTAGGTTATCTACATAGGTTAGGATAATTAGGCAAGTTATTGTATAATGATGGTTTGTAAAAAATGGTTTAAATGGTGAAAATGCTGTTTAAAAAATTAAAAACTGCTTTTATTCTAGCGGAAATGAAACAAATAAGACTTTCTCCAGAAGAAAAAATATCAGATATACTGTGAAAATTTCCTTGCTCTGTTAAACATCATTTGGGAAATATTAAAAAAAAGAAAACAAATTTAAAGGAGGTCTAATAATTCTGATTTCAACTGTACATAAACACACACACACACACACACACACACACACACACACACACACACACACACACACACACACACACACACACACACACACACACACACACACACACACACACACACACACACACACACACACACACACGGATAGGTCCATAAATTAAAAATGTGATGTTAACACAATTCTAACATTTATGGCTCTATACATGAACCCAATGGAGCCGAAATGAAACATACAAGATATACTTTAACTGCAGACTGTCAGCTTTAATTTGAGGGTTTTTACATTGAAATCAGGTATACGCTTAAGGAATAACAGTTTGCATATGTGCCTCCCACTTGTTTAGGGTCCAAAAATAATTGGACAGAATAATAATCATATTTTAATTATAATAATCATGATAATCACTTTTTAATACTTGGTTGCAAATTCTTTGCAGTCAACTACAGCCTGAAGTCTGGAACACATAGACATCATCAGATGCTGAGAGCTTCCTAGTGGTGCTCTGCCAGGCCTCTACAGCAACTGTCTTAAGTTCCTACTTGTTCTTGGGGCAATTTCCCTTCAGTTTTTATCTTCAGCAAGTGAAATGCAAGCTCAATCGGATTCAGCTCAGGTGATTGACTTGGCCATTGCATAACATTCCACTTTAAATTAAAGCTGAAAGTCTGCTGTTATGGCAAATTTTGTTCGTTTAATTTTAAATTGATTGTGTTGGTGTATAGAGCCAAAAATGTTAGAATTGTGTCGATGTCCAAATATTTATGCACCTAACTGTGTATGTATGTGTATAACATATTTATGCCCAAATTGCACATTTGCACATTATTTTTCAGCTTCATTCAGCAACATTTTGTTAACACCATAACTACAACAACATTATTTTACTAAAATAATTTTTTTTTTTTTTTTTTACAATTATTTTATAGTTAAAGAATATTTCATGCTGTAAAACTGAAAACTTAACCATTACATCCATAAAAGGCAAAAAAAAAAAAAAAACTATGGAAGTCAACAGTTACAGTTTTCTTCAAATTATCTTCTCTTGCGTTCAACAGAAGAAAGTAAGTCAAACAGGTTTGGAACAAGTGGAAGGAGTTAATGATGACAGAATTTGAACCATCCCTTTAAAGTTGTACGATAAAGTGATTTTAACATGATTAAATAAAAAACTGATGGGAAAAGAAATATAAATATATAAACATATTCTACGTTGAAGTTTAAAATGAATCATGCTGAGGATATTCATTAGTATTTCACATAATAACAAACTAAATGCATTGCAATGACAAGATGCGCTGCTTGGTCTGAGGATGGTGTTATTAAAAGCATCCGCTGGAGGAATGCGTGTGTGTGTGTGTGTATCTCTGCAGGAGATCTCAGACGACAGCTGAGGCTCCACTTCACTACACAGCTGAGGTCAAGCTCTTAAACACACAGACACATACACACACCACTGGTCTATTACAGGTCGACTAGGGCACATTACTGCTGATTTCACACCGTTACTGTTACTGTTTGTGCAGGAGAAAATCAGACTGGCCGATTAGTTGCTATGTATAGGTTACATTATAACAAACCAGATGAACTCCAGCAAGGCATTTCTCAAACATGCATGTGATAATTAATTTTAATTTTGGTATCTATCATATGAGTGTTACATATTTTTGTTCAGATATATAATTTGTTAATTGAGAAAGGGGCCCTTGGAAATAACGCTCTAATTTGAAATCTAATTTAATAGGGAAGGGTGGCCCTCTAGAGGTTGATGTTATGCAGTACAAGTATTTTTTTCTACTTACTTTTTTCTCCTCTGTCTTTCCTTTAGTCTGGAGTGATAAATATCCACTACAGCAACCTTCAGTGCTGCAATAACACAATGATACCACAAACATGGTAAAAAGTAGTTACCAAGAATTTAGCATTCAGTATGTTTTCACAAATATTTACAAATAAAATCTAATATATATATATATATATTTAAAATAATGTATAATAGTATATATGAAAAACATTATAAATAATAAAATGTTAATTTGAAATAAAATAAAATTAAATATGATGATTTGCTAACTATTTGTATCTAGCTAAAGTATGAAAATTTAACTTATAATAATACTATAACTGAAATACAATTTAATTAAACTTAAGTGGTTCAACTTAAAAATAATAAACCATAATAAAAAATAATAAAATGATCTAAAATTCAATTAAAATCAAACATTACAATAAAAATTTGTATAATAGCATCAAAATGGATACAGAAAACTAAATAAAAAGTAAAAAAAGACCATAATGATGTTTGATCTCATTAAGCCAACAATAACAACTATGATTTTTCAATGGCAAACTGGTTATGATAATGCTACATTGTAAAAATAACATTTGATTTCAGTAAAATGAGAGAACAAATGTACTAATTTTTTCTACTGTTGCACTTACCATGAAGGATATCAGAATCATCATCGACAAAGTCAATATCTTTTAAATCCCATTCAGCGTAATTATCAAACTCCTAATTTCAGAGACAAAAAGAGAAAGAGAGGTTGCTTTAAAAAATTTATGAATTAAATAAGTTCTAAACAGACAGTCATTGGACGGCATATTGAATTTATGGAAACAAGCCTGTATCAGGCTGTATAAATATCAAAACATTCATACAAAAGTTTAAGGGTGTTTTTGCTATTGTTTCTTTTTTTTTCAAGAAGACATTTCATGTATTGATTTTAAACAACCGTTAAACAACAATATTACATGGCTCTGGAATACTTTATTCTGATTAGTCAAGATTCTGATTAATTAGTATTAAAAGCTGAACTAAAATCAATAAAATTCTGGCAAAGCACCAGGGTGCTGAATGTGCTTGCTGATCGTATGGAGCAAGGCTAAAATAGCATCTACAGGGTCATCTTTGGATTCACTTAACACATAGATCACTCGCACTTGACGATTCATCCATGTCGGGTGTGAACGTACCTAAGACTTTTTAAAACCACTATAGATACAATTTTAGACTTACACAAGGCTAAATGCTAAGGACTATTTCTAATGGCCCATTTGGGCCAGCACAAAAAGAGTTTTACATAATAAATTCAAATAAGTTATGTTAGCCACATATTTTAAATGTGTCAAAACAAAGCAAAACCTAGTTGTACTTACACATTTTTTTTTTTGTTAAAGAAGATTGACAAGCTGTATAAACTTTAAAAAAAACAACAGTCGGTGCAGGTCAGTGTCTCCACCATATATGGTCTATAAATACTTTGAGAACTTTTTAACCAATGTAATTGTAGGGAAGACAACTAGACCATATTGGTAAACAGAGTTAGAAATAAAGTTTTGTTACAAGTGTTATTAAGATGAATTGCTTGTGATTGAATGGGTGTCGGCCTGCGGTGCGTTTCCCAAACAATGACGTAACTCCTGGATTAACTATCATAGTACGATGCATTGTTTGGAAAAAAGAACGATGTAGTGATGAGGGTTACCCCAAAACCGTAGTTTCTCTGTCGATCCATCGTTTGAACCATGTTAGATATCATGTAAAACGCCTATAATGATACCCTATATGAGGTGGTAACAGCTTCTTTAGAAAGGAACCCCATAATTTCTTTGTGCAAATTATATTGTTTCACACACACACACATTTAAAAAAAAAATCCAATATTAGTTTTAGTAAAAACATGCAATTGCTTTCCAGATTAATTGTAATATACTGTATGTAAACGGCATATATAGGGCCTGTTTCCTTTACAAATATTATTGAGAACATTATATATTCTATTCTAAAACATAAAATCACTTACATACTACATTCTAGTATCATATATTAATCATACAAATAAATAAATAAACAGTCTATTTATTAAGAAATAAAATGTTATATTCATTATTTATTATGAAATGAAAAAAAACCCTACTTTAATAATAATATTAATAATATCACTGATTATTATTAAGTAAAATATTGTTTATTTATTTTTTTTTTTTGAAAAGTCTACTTTTACAATTTGACACATGCAAACCACTGCACAAATGTTCTAACTAACAGGCCCACGTCATATACAGTACAGATACTTAATAAATGCATACTAGAAATTAAAACCATTAGCTTTTAAATAATAGGACACCTGTAGCTTTCATCTTGAGCCTCGGCTGTGTTCAAAATGACATGAATGTTTTTAAAGTGCACTAAGGTGGCAACGCAAGATTGCTAAAACTGAAATGTAAAAATACTTTGACAGCAAATTACACTTAAGAGTGATTAATTAATTTTTAAAAAATCATTTCAAAGTTAAATGTTAGAATGTTCTAAATGAATAGGGCATATAGCTGGGCTTATAACTACAATAACTGGGAATAGAACACAGCCATGAACTATGTTTCTAACTACAGCTCCAGAGGTGTAGTTGCAAACATTGAAGTTTGCGACGCAGTTTGTGAATGTTCGTTGGAACGATGGATTTGAAAAATGCTAAATAAATAAACTATGGTTGTAACGACAGAACTTGCAACCTTAGTTGGCTTTTGGAAACCCACCCCTGATTGGGTAGTATTACATGGACATAGAAAAATTAAGACCTGTAAAAAAAACAATTTAAGACCTACAAGACAATATTTCAGAAAATTTAATCATTTTTTAGGGCCTAAAATTTAGTTGTTGAAACTTAAGAAACTGCGGACACCCTGGTTAGTGTTTGCTCCATTCAGCCATTTTCATTTCTTGTTTCGCATTTAATTAAACACCTAATTAACTATTACGGCTCAAAACAACAAACATGTTTTGTGTCACTTTGTAACGTTTTGTGACAAGTAGCTGTGTAATAAGTGGCATAAAGTACATCCAGTCGGTTGTTTTTTTTTTCTCCACAGAACAACACTCCACAGATTTGCTTCGCTGATGCGATAAGAACCACTTGGATGTACTTTATCTTACTTACACTCCACTGAACGCATGCATTTCTATTCCCTACAAATTTGTTTTCATCCATGTCAATATTGAAATAAGGTGCAACCCTGACTAAAGTCTAGTAGCTGCAGATCTCTTACCTCCATGAAGTCTGCTCGAGCTGGCATGTATCCGGCCATATCTCTGGACAGTTGCGAGTCGAAGGAAGGCCTTGGAGGATCGTCAGTGGCTGAAACACATTAAACACAAAGCATGACATTATTATTATTATGATGCATCAATCAGTCATTGCCACATTTTGAACACTGCAGATTTGTCTGTGTGTGCTTATGTGCCATCCTAACAACAAAATGAATCAGACAAGCACATCTCGTATTCAATCTGTTAGTCTGTGTGTGGTGAGAGTGTGATGAATGAGTGCCCGCAGGGATGTGGAGCTCAGGATGGCAAACACAAATGAACACAATGAAAGAAGCATGGATTAGAACACGACTGATGTCCTGCTATTCAGTACAGCACTGTTTATTGTAAACCATTTATCCATATATACCTTATTTGTACTTCATGTGTCATCATAATTTTTTATCTAAATAATTTCTATTCTCTCATGATGTATTAATTTATTTTGACTTACATTTAGTTGACTAATAGCGAATGATAACTATTCCATCAATTCTAATGAAATAAAGCCTTTAACATCACAATATGAAAAAAAAAAACTATATATATATATATACATATGCTATATATATATATATATATATATATATATATATATATATATATGCTGATTTAAAATAGGATGGCAGAAGAATAAATATTTCATTAAAAACCTCCATAAAATGTCAGTGTAAAAAAAAAAAATCATACAAGCAAGGAGCGAGTAGCAGAAGATGGAAAACCCGGATCAGAGCTAGAGCAAACCCGGTTAGAGAGGCTTTGTGCATGTAGTGGACATTCTTGCCACTCCACACATTTACTCTGATCACAACAGATGAGTACAATAATTGCAATCTCTTACAATGTTCACACCTGATATTAAGAAGATGCATTTTTGTAACTACTTCATCAGGTAGTACAGGTGTGAACAGTCTGTTAAACGCTTTGAGCTTGTCAAGAGGTGGTCGAAAAACACATTAGACCAGAATACTCTTGTGGGGTCAGTTTTGTCGCTAATGTTAGTTTGTGTAATACATGCTTTAGTGAATCAAATTCATGTAAATTGCATCTAATAAAGCCTATTTAAATATTCAGTGTTTTGAGGGAAATTTTGTGTATAAATTTAGCTAACTACTGATTAGCTATTTCAGTGGTTACTGTGGGTCAAATTATACAAACAGTGCATCTAATTGTAATTTACTGTTAGACTAAATGTAGACACAAATGCCTATTTTGCAGGGAAAATTCTTCTTGCGAACACTTAAGAGTGTCTATTGGTTTTCTAGATTTGCTGGTTTCAGACTGTGGAATGATTTTTTTCTTGCATAGACTGATTGGCGTAATTATCAGGGCTCGAAATTGCAACCGTTTTGGTCGAATTTGCGCCTGAAATTTCATCAATTCGACCTCATAATAAATTTGGGAGCATTTCTGCGACTGCATATAATGGTTGTAGTGCGACCTGTTAAGATTTTTTCTAAAAACGTGCTGAATCGGTCTTCCTTGCCGCTGTATTGGTTCATATTAGCTCATAACAAAGAGCGGTATTGCGCCAGTGGTCATCGGGGGAATCCTGCTCTGCATGCTCATAAGCCCCTTTCACACATACAGACCTTTCCGGAAAATTGCCGGCAATTTTCCGGAAAGGCTGTATGTGTGAACAGGTCCTTTTTGAAAATACCGGTAAATTCGTTCTGGCTATTTTCCGGAAAGAGAAGTTGTAACATTACCGGCAATTTGCCGGAATGCTGCGCTGTGTGAATGCAGAAGGAAGATTACCGTAATAAGCGCGTGCACGTCTAGAGCGTGCTGACGTGAGACGTCTGCTTTAGCCAATCACAACATTCAGACGCGTTTACGTCCGCGCGGTTCATGAGAATAAAAGCCTTTGAATATTTTTCCAGACACATTTAGCTGCTAGAAGTTAGTCAGATCACAATTATATGTTCTTCTTAATGCCAACTGTGTAAATAATCATCGATGAGATGCTTATGATAAGCCGTTGTTTGTTTACCTTCAAGCTTTGCGTGTGCCTGTGAAAACAGCCTGTGAGCGCCAGCACACGCACATATTATGAATCTCGACATGCGAAAGTGATCCTGCGAAAGTTGTTCACAATATTGATCATCCACAGAGTTTGTAATTTATAGTCAAATGTTTACAAATACAAGCGCAGCCGTTTAAAGCTCATTTGTAGTGAATGATGTCAGAATTTACCGGTATTTTGGAATGGATGTGTGAATGCTCTTTTCCGGAAAATTTCCGTAACGTCCTTGCCTGTGTGAACAGCGCTTTTTTGAATATACCGGTAAAGTCGTTCCGGAAATTTTCCGGATATTTACCGGTATCACTGTGTGAAAGGGGCTATAAATTGGTGCGGCTGACTTTTCACAAACGAAGAAAAATTAAAATCAGCTCATAACAAGACAAGATTATCAATAACAAGATAATCAAAACTTTTAAAGAGTGATAGAAATTAGATTTTTATTAGGTTCTTTTGTCCATTATTCCTTGAGATTTATATTATTATTTAATTACTAACTAAAAAACAGTTTTGCAGCTTTCAATCTTGAATTTAATGATTTATTATAGTCTTTCGTTTGTTTTGTGGCAGAAACATTATTTTTTAGATTGACATGCATATAAAAACAATAGTACAAAATAAACATTTTTTTTACTGCAATGCTTTATTTTAGTTTGACGCAAACCATATTTTTCATAAAGTAACAGACTTTTTTTAGCAGATAACTCACATTCAAGCACATTCAAGGCAGCATCATATTGAGAAATGTAATTTATTGTTAGTATTATTGTCATTTTTGTCATCATTAATATATTTAATAATTATTAGACATGCATTTTGGAACTATTGCACACAAATATCAATAAGTCATCACAGCATTAGTAAGATAGTTGTTTCTGGTTTTTGTTAGTCCTAATTTATGTTGTTTTCAAATACAATAAATCCCTTAAAATACATTTTGCAATGGTGCTCATTTATTTTTGGTGGTGCTCCTAAATTCTTTCTGGTGCTCCTAAATATTTTAAGTTGGGAGCACCGGCGCTACCAAGTGGAATAGTTGATTTCAAGCCCTGATTATACATTCACAATGGAATGAACCATTATTATTTTAATGATTAGTACTATTGGTGCGGTATGTAAGTTTAACAGCCAGTGGTTGAACTAGGTATTACGTTCCAGGATGAAAACAAATGAAAGCGCAGGTTGCCAGATTGAGGAGCGAGTCTGACGATCGAACCTAAAGGCTGATTTGAATCGTGTTCTAACTAAAAGCATTGGCACGCCATAGAAGGAAAATTCTCCATATTAAAAGGAGTTTTTGTTCTAACAAACACCTAGAATGGACATATTAGGAACGGCTTATATTCCTTGAAGCTGAACAACAGGATAAACTGTGATGATATCAGGTACACCTCATGTGCTTTATTCAGTGTCAAACACTAATGTGAGTTTGAATGCTATTTCACATGACATTTATTGCCATAAACTGAAAGCAGCAGCAGATAGTTTCATCTCAGATCTTGAAAATAAAATAAACTGTTTGAAATTGAACTTTAAAACTGTAACTCAGTGCAAGCCAAAACATATAATTTATTAAGCATGAACATTTAATAATGTTAAAAAGGTTTAATATGTATTAATTAGATTATAAACCCTACTTAGATTATAAACCTCATCATTTCATGAGTGGTGCATATTCTGTGCTTCTGAATGATTGTATTAAAGAGCCCATATTATACATGAAATAGGGTCATATCTTGGTTGTAAGGGTCTCCAACAACAGTCTAATATGCATGCAAGGTCAAAAAACACTTTCATGGTCTTATAATCTGCATTCATTTTTACCTAATTATCCCAGCGACTCCTGTATGAATCTTTCAGTGATTCATTTGTTCCCAAACCCCTCCTTAGCGCGAAGCTAATCTGCGCTGATTGGACAGATGACAGTCTGTCGCGATTGGTCGACTGCCTTCAGTCAGAGAGTGAAATGGCCAATAGCTAATCAGCAATTTAAAAAGTAATCACAGTTCATACACGCTAGATAGTGTAGGCGTGGATTTTAGCTGCCACACACACACAAACACACACACACCTCCGGACGAGAACGCTCCCGCCCGCACCCGCCAGGTTTTAGCCTTAGAACCCGCCCCGTATTCTGCCCGCCGCGCCCGATCCCGCTAAAGAGCGGGGGAGAACAAAACCGAAAATCTGTATAAACACACACACAGCACCAAGCATAAAGCTCTCGCTCGCTCGCTCGCTCGCTCTCTCTCTCTCTCTCTCTCTCTCTCTCTCTCTCTCTCTCTCTCTCTCTCTCTCTCTCTCTCTCTCTCATACGCGCGCGTGCGCACTAACACACAAGCACCAAGCAGACACATCTTTCTCTTTCTCAGGCAGCCCGCTCCCGTCCCAAATCAAACCCGTTACCGACCGCTCCGGCGATTTATTCGGAATTTTATTCCCGCGCCGCAGAAATCTGGCGCGGGGACAGCCGCGGGTATGCACACCTCTAACGTTACCACGGAGCTCCATAAACAAAGCAGCACGCGTCGCGTTTTTAACGTGACTTTGCACGCGATAAGAGAATATAGCCAGTTAACCTGATACAGTACACTCGGTTACAAGTAACAAATCACAACTAAATACATTTGCAAGCTAGAGTCAACGAGGCAACAACTTTAACCGCACGTACTTACACTTGAGAAATGGAAGAAACCCATCCTGATGTCCATCAGTAAGTTACTGATCCTTCCTTTAACAAACGCAGATGAAGTATTCTTTGTAGCATGTAGCTTCCAGAAGTTTCCAGTAGTTTCCAACTGCTTGGTTATAATGCTGAGGTTTCATCTTTGGGTAGAGACTCAATATATCCATCTGCAGTGTGACTTCAATCGACCGGCATGTTTGTGTGCGTGTGTTTGTGGGTGTGTGTGTGGGTGTGTGTCTGGGTTACTGCGTCAGAGGGCGGGGCCTCAGGTTTGAAATCTCCCGGGTTTGCGCGTGCACGTGAAAAACTTTGTTTCGTTCGTACGTCATGGCGAAACACCTAATGAGTCGGTATCAAGGCGACTCGTTTGAAGCACTATGAATCGACTCTTTTATAGATGAATCAACAGTTTTAAACACTGTATTCTTACAGATTTAAGCCTTAGCTGGATACTTCACTTTACTTAGAGCTGTGTTACACACTACATGGAGGGGAATTTTCAAAAACCCATAATATGGGCTCTTTAAAATTTTGGTTGTGTTTCGTCTGGTGCAAATAGGCAGATTGCTTATCACTGCAAATATCGTCATGTAGTGTGTTGTAAGGACATGGGGCTTACAATGCTCCTGCTCACCTAAAGTTGCTAATTAATAACCTCACATGGAACTCTGAATCTGCGTCTCATTTCGGAATCTGCTACAGTCCACTGAAAATCACATTTCGGTCACGGACACATGCTTTGAGAGCCTTTCTGAATGAATGAATGAAATAAGAGGTTTTCCACCAAGGCAACCTGGGGTACTGAGATATAACTGGATAAACTGGCATTGAGCAGGTTAAAAGAACAAACAAAGAAAGCGTTTTGGCATAGAAAACCAATTTTCAAAGCAGAATATCTGACTTCTGCATTGTTTTTCAGATAAACATAAATGTTCATTTGGCATGTCTTTTAAATATCTGCAAACATATTATAGTATTTTATGCTTTAGAAGAGTCAAAAATGTACACACAGCACTTTTAAAATACAAATCAGAGAAATCTATTAAAGGGCACATAGGTTACCCCTTTTTTCATATTTATTATAAGTCTTTTGTGTCCCCAGAATGTGTCTGTAAAGTTTCAGCTCAAAACACCCAGCAGAGTATTTATTATAGCTGTTTGAAGTGTCTGTACTATAGCTGGGAAAAGGTTGTTGCTGTTTTTTTGCAATGGGCCTTTAAGGCGAGTCATCCCCGCCCACCGTTCCCCAGTGCCTGTCAGCAACATGCCTCAATCGCCGCCCTCGGCTGCCTCAGGAAGCAGATCTCACGTAACTTTTGTGAGAAATACTACAGTAAGAACTTTACCAATCAGTATTTGATGCATTTTTTTGTGGAGTTGCAACAATGAGTTCACGCACACACAGCGCAGTCATGCAGACACACACACACATAGCACAGACACGTAGCGCAGACACACACGCACATACATAGCGTAGACACTCAGACACACACACACATAGCACAGACACATAGAGCAGACACACTCACACACACACATACATAGCGTAGACACACACACAAACAGAGAGAGACAGTGAGAGAGACACGCGGCTGTGCTGATGAAATGAATCTGAAGTGAATGGCTGTACTTCATTACACACGTGCACACGTTTTAAAACATGTTAAACTTGTAAAACTCACTCTTGATCACTGTTGACCATCTGTTGATAATTGTTAAGACATGTTAATGTGCGCAGCTGTCAATCAATATTGGTGGAACGGGGGGACCGCACTCCTACGTAAAGTTATGGTCGATCTGAAAACCGATTCAAATTGATCCACCGCTTTTATGTTGTTAAATTAAAAAAAAAAAAAAAAAAAAAGGACCGGGTGTGTTTATTTCTACCCAATATGACAGTATATACACTATACTTAAACACATGTATGTCCAAACAGCTTGAAAAGTAGATTTTTCACCACAGGTGCCCTTTAAAGTGCTGACAACCCATACAGCTTGTTTTGACGTCATTCAGGGGGGATCAAGTGTTAATTAGAGGGGTCAATCCCCTCTAAAAAAATTATTAATGCATAAAGTGGCTTTTTCATATAGCTTGTTTAATTTATCTGGCTCTTGTCTGGTACTTTCTCCAATTGATGTAATCAAATCAACAAAAAAATTCTTAACAGAAGGTGTTAACCAAGGTCTCAGACGCTATTTGATTAAAAAAAAAAAACCAGATCACCGAGTTTACAGAAAACAATCAGACTGTGGCTGGGAGATTACGGACAATTTCAGTTTCCTGCACATACACTAGCAATTAATTTAGCATTACCTGACATGCTTTTCTACTCTAATAGTGATGGAAATGTCTGATTTTAATGATTTACTAAAGAAAAAAAGTCAGATTAAGTCAATTTCAAGCAAAATCAAATTTTCTTTTGTGTAAACTTTCATTTTAACTTGTTTGGGATTGATTAGACTTGTAATTTGTTGAAACCTTATGTATATCAAGAGGTGAATCACACAACAGTTGCTTCTGTTGTTTTTGCTGCTCACTTACGCTTGAAGGGAATGGCTGTGTCTGCTGTCCGGGACAGATGATCATCCATATGTCTGAGACTGAGCAGAGTGGAGGAGAACAGAGGATTGTTGATATAGTTCTTCATGTAGTGACCTTCACATTCTTCTTTGGTTTTAGAGCGCATCTGGTAAGCCACGTCCTGCCTGAAGAAACCCAGATACAACAGCAGCAGTGTTACATTAATGACATATTAATACTTTTAAAGCATTTAGTCTTATTTCAAATTTAAGTTATCTGTAATTACTTAATGTGCTCATGCAATTTTTGGTATTATTATTTTATTAAGAGTTAATTTATTTTTATTTTGGTTTGAGTGATTTTATTTTAGATTTGTTTCTGATAATGCAATCTTTTTTTTTTTGTTTTTTTGTAATATTTTTAATTTAAGTTTATTTCATTTATCAAAAACAATGTATAAGAATTTTAACACTGGCCATAAATTTAAACTAAAGCGTTGATGTTTAAAAACTGTTCCCAAAAGCTAAAAAACAGAAATTATTTTTAATGTACTTTCTGATCACACAGTAGAAAACTGATATTCTTTCAGAGTATTTTTGTCTTGCTTTCTGCTGCAAACATCTATTTGCAATTCAATATACATTTACTACAAGAAGCAAAATGGCATAAGACAAGAAGTCCTGTTTTATAAGAAACTGATATAAATGTGTTTGTATGCATGACATGAACAAACGTCTGCCTATAAACAAACAAACAAACAAACAAACAAACAAACAAAAAATTGATTTATTCCATATTAAACAAGTTTTCATGCTGTAATGACACACATTTGTTCTTCTTTTAATCACTTAATGTTGTCAATTTCTCAAAAAGTAAACTAAAATATTTAGAATCAAGCCTGAAATTATTCATACCTTTATTCATGAGCCGGTGTCATTTTAGTAACTTTAAGTCAGAATTTGCCAGGGGTATGAATAATTCCGGGCTTGACTGTATATTAAAGATATTATTATATTAATGTATACATTGCATTACTATATAATTGATTGGTTTTGCATTTAACTAAATATATCTTGATTTATGGATGATTTAATAATTGCATTGCATAACAAGACAAAACACTGAGGAAGGCAATCTTTTTTGGCAATTCCTGAAACATTTCATGCCATTACTACTTCACAAATGTATCACTTTTTGTTCTGATTTTAAACTTAAATAGTGGAAGAGGACATTACATTATTTAGATCTGAGGAAACACTGAGCTCTAGTACAATTAAGCCTTATTAGAAGAAAGAATAAAAGGTATGGAAAGGAACTATACTGACCAATTCCCAAACCCACAGTCCATGACGGCCTCTAAAAGAGCCATTTCCTCTTGTGCAGTCCAGCCACTCTCTAACACCGGAAAATCTGAGGTCTAGAAGAAATACATATAAAAAAAAAAACATGTAATTTATAGAGCAAATACATTTATAGAGCAAATTTTTACAATCAAGAATTTTTAAAGAACAAACAAACAAAAGAATCTGTTTTAAACATTTATGGAAGAAACAACATTTAAAAACATCTTATATATCTAAATACTCAGTCTACATAATTTTTTTATATTTAACTTTATTGATTTTTAGGAACATATAACTAGTGAAAACAAAACAAACACCCACATACAGTATATGTTAACATTTTAGTTTAATTATCAATTACACCAGTAACAAAAGACAAACACCATTTACTACTGGGTTATTACCTGTTTATTAGCACTTATAATACGATTATCTAATTTTACATCCCTAATCCTACCCAATAACTACGGTAAACCCAATTACTACCATATAATACCACTTATATATATATATATATATATATATATATATATATATATATATATATATATATATATATATATATATATATATATATATATAAATATAAAACTATAACTATAAAATTAACTACAACAAAAAACAAACCAACAAAAACCAGTTGCCATTGAAATACCTTTTATTCCAAAATCTTATGTATTAAGTGTTGTAATTTAAATTTTACCATGATTTCATATTTGTGGTCACTCTGGTGCTTTTTATACTCATATCCTCTAGTGAAACACTGCAACAGAAAGATGAAAACATAAAGTGAGTATTTCATGATCAGTAACAGTGTATGATTGATGCATTCAGACAGCAGTGGAAGGAAAGCACCTGCAGACACAGGAGAAATGGGGACGGTCCACATTCAGCACACTTGATGTATGGCTCCACCAGATATGACGAACATCCACGACAGGGAGGCTTATCGAAAGGATCATCTGGAGACCGAAAAATTTAGAAACAGAATGAAGGTATCAGCAAACCAACCCTCAAGAAATTCAGTTTCTCTGGATTTACTGGATATTTTAGCTATGGGTTTGAGTAATAATGTTTAGTTCATGAACAAAAATTTAGTCATTTAGAGCCTTTTTGGATGTTTTCTGAAAAAAAAAAAAAAAAAACAATTCCAATAAAATAAATATTAACATTTATTTTATAAATAAAATAAATATTAACATTTATTTTACTTAAAATTTTACCTAAACAAATCCAATATTTTCAAAGTAATAAAGTTTAGTATAAAATATCCAAATATTTTAATTTGTTGTGATTAAAAAAAATCTGGGATATGACACCAAATAATACTTTTTTTTTAAAAAAATTCTTCTGAATTCAAAAATTCAAATGGTATTGTGCTGTCAGAAAAAGAGAAAATATAAGCATGTCTAAAAATAAATTTTATTGTAACACAATACAATACATACTGTACAACACATGTACAGTATGTGTTTAAGTAAAAATAATAATTTCTGTGAAATAAAGAAATTCTGTTCTATACATCACAAAAAATAGTGTGATTTAGAGCTACTGTATCTAGTCACAAAATTACAAAATAATAATTTAATATTCTTTATGAATAAATGAAACAAATAATAACATTAAAAGACACAAACAGTACCTAATCAAACCAGAACATTCAAGAAGTCCAGTTTTTACAAAAGTGTACAATATATTTTCAAATATGACACTTGATTTATTGTTTGTTGCTTAGAATAAATGTTTAATATTTCTTGTGTTTATAAAATATTCTACAAATGTGAAAGAAAACCATTATTTTATTTTTAAAGCATTTATTTTATTTAGCTAATCTTGAATGTATGTCAAAACATATTACTATGTTATAAAGCTGATACTTATTAAAAAAACTATGAATTATAACGAAAAGTGAAAAATATAACCCACCAAAATCAAATGTAGTATTTTATTACAAATATCTGTTATTATTACGTTATTAGATAATTAGTTTTTAATGAATATATATATATATATATATATATATATATATATATATATATATATATATATATATATATATATATATATATATATATAGTTTATAAGGAAATAAGAGTATATTTAAGAAAAACATTAATTTGTGAATAGCCATGGGACAATAACAGGTTTCAAAGTACAACGCAGTTTGGAAAAGTCAATGATTTAAAACCGCCAAAGTTTTCTGTTATACCGTTCCTACGGTGTTTGTACGGTTTTTATTTACGTGTTTTTTTTTTGTTTGTTTTTTTTAGGACAACAGTATCTCCAGAAGAAAAACATTTGCGAAGATGTCTTTTCAAGTTGTAAAGAAATCAGTGTTTTGAAACTAATGAAAACAGCAGAAGTCAATGATTCATTTCAATAATTTAGGACATGTTTACTTTTCCAAAATATTTTAAATGTTTCTCAAAATAAACTATATTGTGTTCAAACTAGGTGGAAAAGTTTTAGTTGTTCACCCAGACATTTAAAAACTTTATTTAGAGCAGTAATAATACTGTGAAACTGTGATAATTTTATCCAAAGTTCTCATACCGTCAGAATCTTATACCGACCCATGCCTATTTGTGAAGCATAAAGTATACAGTAAGGGGGTCTTAAAACTATTTCTGGTTAATACAACATTCACCTGAGGTATGATTACAGTTAATGCACTGCAGCTACTGCATTTTACTTTATAGTTTCTACCATTAATATAATTTGTTTTACCATTTATGAATTACAACACCATGGTACAGCATCATATATTCCACTTAAAAGCATTGTGAATTATTTACTACATTCATTAAACTCACAATATAAATAGTTATAAAATGTTTTAAATACAATAAATAAATTTACAAATTAAATATTTGTATAAAAAATAAACATTAAAAAACTCATATGCTACATTTTATTTCATATATATACTTTAAATTATTGTTATTTATTTATATAAAAAAAATATATATATACACATTTTTTTTAAGAAATCATGACTTTATACTTTAATGCACTGATTTGTTTTATATAAGTTATATGTATTACAAATCGGGGGCAGCATGGTACAGTTTAAGATGCCGTACTGCAATATGCATTATGTTAAGCGTTATTAATAAGTGTATTATCATAACATGATGTACTCCAGAGAAATTCAAATATTGTCATGGCACAAAATACAAAGTACATGTGTCAATAAACATGGCTCTAACAGAGTCATTTTAGCTGACATCCGTTTACTATGGTACATTTCTGTATCAAATACCAGAGCTATTTAGTTTTCATATTTAGGCTGTTTCCCCAAGAGTACTAGATTTACTAAACAAGAAACTTACTTCCAAATGACGCCAGTCTATCCATGTTGTAAATAAATGATGGGATCTGGAAAATGTAAAACCTTTCTCCTCCTCTTCCACTCGTTTGGAAAAAAATTGAGATCTTTCTGTGATTTGTGCTGAATTAAACTGGGCGGTTGTACCGATTATGCCTCGTCGTTAAAAAGCAAAGAATAAAAACATAATCTTATGCTCTGTTTAACACATTATTGAGAATGTAAACAGTGCTTCTGCTCGATCTGTGCAGCTCAATGAACAACATAAGGATGGGAAGTGACGTTCTTCCACAGCGCCCCTCAGCGGCACCTGCGCGATACATACATACATGAATATGTGACAGACTCGCGAGCTCAGCCTTTCTACAGTGAGGTCAAGATCTCTCAAGTGACTTTTAATAATCATCTACAGTATAACTGATAGCCTACTTTACACTGGACACTTGAGGAATATCAGACCAGATATTTCGTTTTCATCACTTTCCCACCTGTAAATCATCGTAAGTATTTTTTTACGGATTCATTTCTCATAGTTTTATAAGAGGCGTTCAGCTCATAGATATTTATAATTGATATCTATTATATAATGTCGATGGTTCAGCTTCAGGATGATCCTGTTTTTATACATTATTTAGTATTAATAGATTACTATGAAAGTTAGAATTATTATTATGATTATTATTATTATTAGGTTATTACATTGATATATAAATTACATAATTATAATTTTTACTTTTACTTTCCTTTGGCCTTTTCCTTGCTTTAGCGTGGTTACCACAGCGAAATGAACCGTCAATATCTTAATTTTATGAAATTTCATTTTTCCTTTTGTTAATGTTGGTTATTGTATTTACTAACATGAGCAAATGAGGAAATGCTAATGAACAACAGATTTATTACAGTACTTATTCCTCTTTTTTAACGTTTGTTAATGACAATAAAGTTGTTCATTGTTAGTCAACGTAACTCACAGTGCACTGACTAATATTAACAAGCACAACTTTAGATTTTAATAATGTTGAACTCGGTCGAGGCAGTGACGCAGTAGGTAGTGCTGTCGCCTCACAGCAAGAAGGTCGCTGGGTCGAACAGTTGGCGTTTCTGTGTGGAGTTTGCATGTTCTCCATGTCTTAGCGTGGGTTTCCTTCGGGTGCTCCGGATTCCCCCACAGTCCAAAGACATGCGGTACAGATGAATTGGGTAGGCTAAATTGTCCGTAGTGTATGAGTGTGTGTGTGTGAATGTGTGTGTGGATGTTTCCCAGAAATGGGTTGCAGATGGAAGGGCATCCGCTGCGTAAAAACTTGCTGGATAAGTTGGCGGTTCATTCCGCTGTGGCGACCCCGGATTAATAAAGGGACTAAGCCGACAAGAAAATGAATGAATGAATAATGTTGAACTCAATAAATGCCATACAGATTTGATAATGCTTAGTTCATGTTAGTAAATGCATTAACACACATTAACTAACAGACGATTATTTTGAAGTATCACCCTGATATTTTTAGTTATGCACACTTTTATGTATTGTCCATTTAGCTTTTTAAATTAATTGAATTTAGGAAAAGATAACATTTACTCTGTCTCTTAATCTCTGAAAAAAAAAACACTGTATTCAAGTCCATTTATTCTTGTTGTTATTATAAATTGTGAAAAAATCATCCAACCATTTTAAATTCATGATTGAGCTATTCCAGCGTTATGGATGTGACTTTTGCAAAACATAAATTCACAGAGAAACTGTTAACGTGTTTATATTTTCCAAAACAACTAACCACAGAGTAATGGGATCAGAAAAACATTGATCTGTAAACATTTTTTAGATCTTAAATGAGGGAAATAAACATGTGTTATGGATGATGAAAAAAGTTAGTGAGTTTACAGCATTCGACATACTTTGTAGAAATTCTGTGAATTAAACTGCACAGCCCAAAATAAACAATGCTAATCGTAAGGATAAGAGTTGGCTTACTATAGGAAATAAAAAATACTGATTTTATTAATTGCAATGAGAAAAAAAAAATGGTTATGGATGTGAAAGATTTGTAATATCCACTTGTATGACTTTGGTAAATCAAATGTAAAACATTGACGAGATATTTTTGAGTGTTTCTAAAGTACTGTAAAATACTTGCTTCCACAAATAAATTTAGAAATGGTTGCTATTTTGGTGAAAACTAATTTTTTTTTATAGCAAAGTTGACATTTGAATGGAATTGCTTGATTGTAAATTTAAAAGCACAAATGTGAAACTGCTAGTTTACAATGAGTATGCAAATTTTATTTAGAAAGACTTCTCCCATATTGGAGCAGTCAATGATGGTCCATGAATGGTTTGCTGCACAATGTTGTGCCATCTTGGAAAACTAATTTCAAATTTATTTTTAGTGATTTCATGTTTTAGTGGTTAGTTTAAATATTTAACACTTCAAGATGATAGACATATTGACATCAGAGTCTTAGGACATACAAACTCTGGGCACACATATACAGTATTTAAAGTAAAACACACAGTATTTAAAGTAAAACACATGCAATATGATGGAATAGTCTTCATTGTCTTCAAAATAAAAGAGCCAATGGGACTTTTAATGCACAGGGACTTTTAATTTTCAGTAAGTCAACTTAAGAGCTTCCGGTGAACTGCCATGGCATTACAAAATAGTCACGTTTAAGATTTGATTTCTTAAAAATATTCTATGATCTTCTTTACTGCCTAATTGAGATACGATATAAAGTGGGCCTTAGACCAAACAAGAAGCACTAAATAGGGTATATGCAGAGCTAGTATTTCTTCCCATACCCATAAACTTCCGGTGAACGGTTAATGTGACTTTTTTTCAATTTTACACAGTTCCTTTTACAGCATCAATGTTGTAATGTAATTAAAATCGATATGTTAAATAGAGTTCAGCATTCATTTAGTTGTTGAAGCGGAAACCGAGATGAAAAGCTGTTTACATGCACGCTCCCATCAGGATCAGCAGGCAAGCACAGAAACACCATTGGAAACACTTGAGTAAAACAAATTAAAATATTTTAAAGACATGACATGGGAAAATGTAATTTAATTCAGTGCTTCTTGTACAGTCTGAGGCCCATTTTACAACGTATATCATTTAGGAAGTGAAGATCGTTCATTTTTAAAGAAAACAGACCATAAACATACCGATTTTGTAATAGCATACTGTTCACTGGAAGCATTTGACCCAGGTTACTGACAAATTAAAAGTCCTTCAGCATGTTTCTGCATTCAGTATACCCTATTGCATTACATTGTTCCACACCATGTCTATCAAATATGACAATATATTTTACCACAGTATTTTCATTTGAGTTTCTCTGCTTGCCTGCTGCTCCTGCAGCGCATGTGTTAAACATTTAAATGGCCTTTTATCTCGTTTTATGCCTCAACAACTAAATAAATGCTTAAGTCTATTTAACTGATTAGATTTTAATTAAATTACATTATCAGTGCTGTAAAAGGAACCTTATGAAATTGAATATACTATAGTCAGATTAACCATTCAATGGAAGTTTATTGGTGGCTGAAAAACACTTGTTGCATGTATAGCCCATTGCAGTGCACCAGCTGTTGGAAGCTCCAGCTGTGACTGAAACCATCAATGAGAGGTGCAGGACTGCACTTGTGCACTAGCTGATCTGGTCTGAATAACTTGTTTGACCATTACTTTCTTTCAGAGTGAATCCAGCTGGTGTCAAAATGCCAGCAGAGGTCACTAATGAAACATGACAAAATAAATGCCTTTGGTTTGCTCAAATGGTCACCCATTCCTGACAACTGACTACTTATTTTCACATACCAATGTCGACAGGTATGGTCTTGTCATGTGGGAAACACGTTGATTTGTGTAAAGCAGTGTGAAATGTCAAATTAATAACACAGCATATTAGAACAGTTCTCAGGCTTTTTATTTGATTTTTAATTATAAACAATGAACATGAACAACCAAGGATGATAGCCTATAATACCATTGTAAAGACCATTACTTGGAGCCTTTTCAACAGGGTAAACTCAATTTTACATCTTTCTTGATCTAATCACAACAAAGGATCCCAGTTAAATAGTACCAATGGATTACGCAACGCAATTAACTCCCAAACTAGACTTCTAATGGCCAGCATTCCTCCCTCTTCTCCCAGGTCTCTTCTTTTTGGGGTGCTGCTTGTGAACATGGATGTGAGACTCTACAACAACTCTCACATGCAGCATTGGACAAGGTGTTTGAGCTGTATTGGAACAGATTATGCAGGGTGTGTGGTTACTGCAAATGAATTCTGAACAGACATGCACTTAAAATGACATTTCTAAGTAGAGCTGGGTGATTAATCGAAGAAGGCGATTTTCACATGGGGCTTCACATTTGCTAAGTGGTTATTGTCACCTCACAGCAAGAAGGTGACTTGTTCTGAGTCCCGGCTAGACCTGGCAGCATTTCTGCGTGGAGTTTGCATGTTCTCTCTATATTTTTATTCCAGGTTCTCCAGTCTTCCTCATGGTCCAAAGAAGTGTTACAGGTGGACTGAATAAAATTATTTTTCCGTAGTGTGTGAATGGGAGAGTGTGTGCTCTGTGTAGTAAATGCTGGACATAAAATGACCCAGATTATAACATTTTTACTTCAAACTAACTTCATAACTTTAATTAAGTAGTTGAAATAAATTCTTATGTAAGATGGTTCCATAGTCATTTGATTATTAGTCACACTGAATCAATGAAAGCAGTTCAATCTTCTGTTTATAATGCAACGCTAAGGGAATGCCTTCTGTTTCTTCCTCATGGGTATTTGGAGTTTCACTTGAGAGCGCCCTCTGCCCTTTGGAGGAGATTTAATGCTTATTGCCCAGTTGTGCTTCCCTGACTAGATGCGCATGACAAAGGTTGTATTTATGAATTAATTTCAATTAATCACCCAGCCCTATTTCTAAGAGCTCAAATAATAAAAATAAACAGGAATAAAAAGAGAATCTTACCATTTCGCAGATTCTCTGCATGAATGAGTCCTTGCCTGTTGCGAACACAAACGTTTTAAGTTTGCTAAAAATACATTCTTAGAGAAAGAATGGATAAGAAAGCAAATATTTAGCAATCAGATTGCACAGCAGTATTGTTAGGCTTGTGGCCTTAGTTTGCAATGCGTGACGGTACTGTGGTGATTCTAGACTAATCATCTTTAAGACATCTCTTTCAATGAATATTTAAAACTTACCTTGACAGGTATCTAGCATAACCCATCAAATCTGGGGTGCAGCCGGTGGTATAACCAACTGTTTCGTATACAATCTCACGATTATATCCCCAAGGATCATCTTGACACTGAATGGAAATCTGTAATAAAACACAAAACACAGAACCCCTACATTAACAGCAGTATGTGTAATTGAGTTACTTACATTTAATAAATTCTTTCTCCAAAACATTATCCTTGAGTTGAAGTGTTTTCTTAGACTTAGCAATATTATAGTTAATAGTAGTATAACAAAATGTGGGCAATGTAAAACACAGCTCAAACGAGTTAATTTAATTAATCAGATCTTTATAAGAATTTGCTTGCATTTCTATTGAAAAATACTTTGTTTCAGCCAATCATTTGCCAAAACATTGGTAATCTTGACCACTGATAAAATTTGTAATATCAACGACCAAATAGATGACATAAAATAACACAACAACCCATTTAAGCATAATTTAAAACAAAGTCAAAATTTAAAGTACAAGGTTTTAAAACACTGATTGATTGATTGATTGATATGTAAAATTTTGTAGTGTAGCCAGACGTTTATCTTAATATTTAAAGCCCTCTACACTGTAAAGAAACAAAACAATTTCTTGCTGCTTTAACTATTTTATTTGAATCAAATGATCTTTTCTCGACATTCATCAAACTGTTAAAAAATATTAAGTAAACTTAGTATAAACCGGATCTTTTTTTGTCATTTTTTACAATAGACCATGCTTTTCCTTTTTGTGTTTTGAAGGACCTCATAAAGAAAAATGTACAAAAGTATTATTGCTATTATTATTATTATTATTATTAAAATAATAATAAAAATACATCTTACAATATATAAGCATCATTTTATTGAAAATGTGCACAACCCCTGTCTCTCATCTAAAAAATGCTATAATGCTAATGCTAATGCCGTTCATTAACGGTTTACTCAAAATGCAAATTTTTTGCAGGCTATTATTCAGTAGCATTTTAAAAGCTGGTTGCTAGAAAATGTTTTGCCAAAAATGGCTTCGTAGCATCAAATGAAAGTAAAGGAAGCACAACTGTTCTTACTTACTGATATTTCATTCAATAAGCCTTGTTATCTTGACTATAACCAAGAAAATGTCCTAATCATTATCATGTTTTTAATCATTATACAGAAACTAAAATCTAAGCAGTTACCATAAGTCGAACATGCATGCATGACCAACTGACAAACGAGGTCATGCAAAGACACACGCTCAAATCAAAACGGTAAATGTCATTTCCCTAAATAACGAAAATATTTTCAATTGGCCGGTTTTATTCCTCTTAAAAAAACATATATAGGCTAACAAGTAGATTTAAATTTCACCTTTTCACCTGCGAAATCCATTCTGTGAAGACCTGATTTGAGAGTGACCTTAAGACCTGAAGTTTAGCAGATATGACTTTGATACGTAATAACGTTTTGCTACGTAAAGACGCTTTGATACGTAAAGACGCTTTGACACGTAAGGACTTTTAACTTGTCATTCCCTCACATATAAATAATATAACATAAACACAACAAAGTTGTTGTAGGATATGTAATTTTCGCCCAGAGGTTGCATGCAGATTTCACAAAACAATTGGAAAACAAACAAACAAATAAACAAAAAAAAAACCCAGCAAGTATACACAGCAAATTAAACAAACTTTTGACGAGACTGGAATTGTGTAATCTACTAACACTAATCCAGCTTTTAGAATGTACATTGTTTTACAGTATAAGGGAAATCAAATATTCTGTATCTTCAGTTGGTATGTTCTCATACTGTATTTGTCATATTCTCTCACCTTTTCTGACAAGCCGGTGTCTGTAAGTTGGATGTGAACAGTGTTCCATTCCCATTTACTAGTTATCCTGATGCCAAAGTTTTTTATAAAAAAAAATAATAAAATCACTCATTTTCATAGCTTATATCCAAGCAGAGTGAATATATTCCCTTCATGTTGGTCTTCTCTGCGTCCTTCCTTTATACTGTGTAATTCTGAGATATCCTTTCTAAAATGGAGGAAATGTTTTCCATATCAGCCCATTTCCTGCATCCCTTTCCTGTATCCCTATAGCATAAAAAAAGCATAAAATTAAAACCATTCTGCTTGAAATATTCCCTTAGCTTTTTAAATTAGTGATCATTGGCTTTCCAGCAAACATCAGATGGTTTCATCTGAGAATGTAAGAGAATAAAAGGCTGATACTGTACACTTCCTGTTTAAGTTACCTCCTAGCTAGTAAAATTATTGTGGCTCTAATCCGGCCCTCACCAGACACTCACATCCGGCCCACATACCGCATGGAATGATGGCTCTTGGGCGATCCGCTCCTGTTTTACAGATTTGGGACACAATTAAGACATTGCAATATCACATATCAGCCAGAATTCAACCAAATGAACCAGAACTGACCCTATTCTGGACCACAGTTTGCTTTTATTCTGGCCCAGATCTGGCCTACACCTTTCACTTGCTGGGTGTGGCAAAGTACAAACATCCCAGCATGCATTGCAGTATGACTATAGCTTATTGATGCTCCAGTTTTAATTTTTTGCTGTTGATTCAGCTGTTTATGTTGACGTTGTTGATTTTGTCACTCTTAGTCTCATGTTTGTGTTTTTTCCCCCATTTTGTTAATTGTCACCATTGTTGAGGTTTATACACTGATTATTGATGTCTTTGTGAGCAGAAGTTGAACCATAGAATTATTTTCAGTTAATAAACCTTTATAATTTTGTGGCATGTGCAAGCATGATATTACCTTACCTTTAATAATGGATTAAGCATTTGTTAACATCAGTGAATTATATTATTTCATCACAGGTTGTGCCTCACTTATTTTTATTTATTTTTTATTTAATTTAAATTTTATTATTATTATTTTTACTTGGCTTGTTTGCTGTAATGAGTAAACTTTTCAAGCAAAGTTCTTAAAAGTTACAGCAGCCCAAAATAAAATTTATATTAAGAAGTTCAGGGCTAAGAGCCCAACTAAAGCAAACACTTTTCTCCATAATGGTGACTTTAGTCTATGTGGTCCACATTTGTTTTAAGATAACTGGGCCACATTTGCCATATCTTCTCTGGGTCGCTTTAGGCTCACAGCCACATTAGCCAGAGTTAACTGTGCCAAACATTTTCCAAAAGTGGCCCACATATGTCTTAAGATAACTGGGCCACATTTGCACTAACATGTGTGAGCCACTTTAGGTTTAAACCTAGATTACCCTTAAATGACTATGCCACATTTTTGCCAACTGTGGCTCACATTTGTCCTCCATCATTTGGGCCAAATTTACCATTTTCCACATGGGCCACATTAGGCTCACATTCAGATTACATTTTGCCATAAATGCCAAATCTTTGCCTTAAATGGCCCATATATGGATTTGATTCCTTGATCTCCCATCTCCCATCTCGACTGAGAATTGAGTGACTGAAAAGTCTGAACACTCTTGAAAATCAACACAAGTCAGATAGGTGTAGAATCAATTTATTGGATAAAAGGCAAACATTTCAGTCACAATGTTCTCATACAGTGAACAATGTTAATGCCAAGCTTACAATGTTGAAACTAGAAGAAATCTTAATTAACATGATCATTTAGTAGATCACATGATCAAACTACATCAAGCAAAATGAACAAATAAAAGAAGATAAAACATGAAGAAAAATTAAGGAAAAAAGTTAATAACAATAAAAAATACAAATAAATCAAATTATAATGTAAAAAAAGAAATCAGCTTGCGCACAAAAAAGTGATTGATAATATATATCAGACTAGGGAACCATGTTTGGAAATAAGTTCATAAAATGATTGAGAATTGAAATGTTGACACTAAATAGTAAATGTGAACAAACCTGTAATGCTTTAAAGCAGATTCAATTTCACATCCACATGTACAGTAAATGCACAGTTCAATAGCTGAAGATGCATGATCCATAAACTCTGCTTGTGTTTCCTCATCACAACCTGACCTCCATTTAGTTTATTGTGTTTGCATTCATGTGCTGTGCTCCGATTGACAGGGTCCTTATGTAGCGTTTACTCCTCTCTGTTCTCTGAGCACAGGATATATTTAATCAGTCCAGTTCACTTGACAAAGAATTTATTCTGAACACCCTTCAATATCTTCACACAAAGCCAAAACCTGGGTCATGCATGCAACAAATCCCAAACGGCCTGCTTCTAGAGCATTTGCTATAGAAGACAATGAGCTTCATGTGCATGAGACCATCATTCATCATCTTGGCTTTCAGTTCCTCCCCTCGATTATGTCACAACAGTGTCAACTCATAAGAAAACTGAATGCAGTTTGATGGCATAAATAAATATGATGTAAATGCAATAACATTTACTGAAACGTCTGGGTTTAGCCAACAAAAATTCATTAGTATGATGTAAGGTCTCCTTTTGCAGACTACAGCATCAATTGGCCTTGGTAATGACAGATACTGTACAAGACCTGCACAGTGGCCAGAGGGATTTTGAGCCATTCTTCTTGCAGAATAGTGGATAGAATAGTGGTCACTACATGATGCTTGTGAAGGGAAACTTTTAATGACTTGCTCCTCGAAACACCCAAAATTGGCACAATAAGATAAGATCTGGTGACTGTGCACCAGTCTTGCAGTGTTTATTGGTGCATTATCATCCAGATACACTACACTGCCTTTAGGATACAATATTTGAGCACATGGTCCTCTAGAATGGTTCGGTAGTCCTTGGCAGTGATGCCCCCATCTAGCACAAGTATTGGGCCTAGGGAATGCCAAGCTATTGCAGCCCAAACTATGACTAATCCACCCACTTGCTTCACTCTGGGCATACAACAGTCTGGGTGGTACGCTTTTTTGGGGCTTCTTCACACCGTAACTCTCCCAGATGTGGGAAAGATTGTGAAGGTGGACTCATCGGAGAACAATACAAGTTTCACATTGTCCACAGCGCAAGATTTTCACTGCTGGCACCATGAAAACCGATGTTTGCAATGGCAGGATTGACCAAATGAAATGAAGAAGTTTGGCTATAGCAGCTCGGCATGTGTATTAACCCTATGGAGCTGCGGACGAACAGTTTTGGTGGAAAATTGTCAGTTGCCTGTATTTTCTGTATGATTAATTAACATAAAATCCTTTATTAGCTCTAAAATGAGTGATACATATCTGCTGCAACTTTTTAAAATATAAAAATAAATATTATTTTCCATTTATTTACTCTTTTTGGGTTGTATTATGGGAGTTTAATCTCTGTTCTGACAACTTTAATTTAGAAAAATTTAACAAAGTGATTTTACTGACTTCATTTTGTAGTTTAAAATGATATATATTGTATGATCATGCAAATTACAGCACTAAAACCAATTAACGGGTTAGTTCACCAAGTCACTACAGTAGGTTATTTGCAAACTGCCTGCACTTTTATTGAAGTTTATTTAATACTGTATGAAGCATCACATAATAGATTGTTGTCTTATGTGTTCACAGAATAAATTGTTACTTTGTGGATATTATTTGCAATTTATTGATATTTTTTTGCTACTTTTTGATATTATTTGATATTTATTGATATCAATTTTTGTTCCAACCCTTAATGCTGATTAGTCAGTACTGTGGCTGTTTTTTTAAACAATCGTTAGTGTGAAAACTTACCCATGTGTTATGTATTTCAGCAAAATTAACTCTTTATTATTATATAAAGTATGCTGGGTCAATTAAATATAATTTAAAGGCCATGCTCTTTCCAGTTAAAAAACAATTTGTGAGATATATTGATGTGTGAAGCCCACTATTTCCAGAATGTGGAGGGAATATATATATATTTACTGAGTAAAAAAAAAAACAGTTGCATAAAAACAGTTCAGTTTAAATTTTAATCAAGCTTATCAAAACTAATTCATAATAAAGGCTTAGCATAAAAAATATCATAAAAAACAATTTAAAAATTGTAATATTAAACATACTTTATCTAGCGTTTGACTATACAGTACATTGCAATTGTACTACTATTCAAGATTAAAATAGCAAAAATTCTAAAAGCAAGAAAGTGTTGCAAAAGTGATAAATGCACTTTTCATCACAGTTAGAGATTGGCTTCATCTTTTTGGGATTTGATTTGATTTTTTGCCCTCTTTCGAAGTTTTTTCTTCTTTTCTTTTGGATGCACCGGCTTCTTCATTTTATTGCGTTCATCTCCATTCATCAGTTCTCGGCCGTTGCTTCCTATCTCATTCTCAACTTGTGCCCTACAACCCGTAGAGGGCCCTATATCACAACACATTCCACAGTTAGTGCTGAAACAAACAATACAGTTCTCTAATATATACAGTATTTGATTTCTTACCATCTGTGAATGTTAGGCTTTCAGCATCCATAACATCTGTGTTAGTGGAGAATCCAGCAGATGCTCTGATATGTCTGTTCACAGCAAATGAAATCTGAACTTGACCAGCAGCTGAGGAAACATTGATCAAATGGATACTAGCAACATACAGTATAATGCACACAAATATACATTAAGCCATAGTATTTAGGTTACAAAGCACTGCATACGGATGTTTTTACACATGCAATTTATTGGTGATCTGTGCCACTGCCAAATTTTGTGAAAAGACATGCTGCTTAAAAGCCAGTGTAAATTATATCTGTTAGGACCAAATTTATTCTTTAATATCGCAGCATATAGTTGTAAATTAGTTTATCCATTAAACAATCTGTGTAAAAACAATTAACGTCATAACTGCTTCTGTGCCTGTTTTGTGGTGTTAAAATGATACTGAATTGGTCATTTTTTTGTTGCATAAGCCTTAATTTGAATATTTTGTACCATTTTAAGTTCATTTCAAACCAGTTTGAGTTTTTCTTTTCGTTTTTTGGTTGTTCTGTTGAAGACAAAAGAAAATATTTTAAAGAATGTTGAAAACCTGTAACCATTGACGTCAGTAGTATGTGTTTATCCTAGCATATGTACAGTCTGCTTATTGCTAGCACAAATCAGCATGTTTTTAGCATTTTACCTTGTGGCTAGCATGAATTAGCATGCTGCTGTTTTTATAAATGTATTGATTTATTAGCGTGTGGTTAGCATGTTTCAGAACTTGGCTAGCATGTTAAATCAATATGTACTTACCAATGTGATTTTGTGTTTCTCTAAAAAAAGAGAGAAAAAAAAGAAATTCTTTAGAAAATATTAAATCAAATACTTTATAAACTCACCGCCCACTTTATTAGGTACACCTGTCCAACTGCTTTTTAATGCAAATTTCTAATCAGTCAATTACATGGCAGCTACTCAATGCAATTAGCCATGTAGACATGGTCAAGACGATCTGCTGCAGAATGGGGAAGAAATGTGATTTATATTACATGGCATGGTTGTTAGTGCCAGACAGGCTGATCTGAGTGTTTCAGAAACTGCTGATCTACTGGGATTATCACAACCATCCATAGGGTTTACAGAGAATGGTCCGAAAAAAGTGAAAATCTCCAGTGAGCGACAGTTCTGTGGGCGCAAATGCCTTGTTGATGCTAGAGGTCAGAGGACAATGGCCAGACTGGTTCCAGCTGATAAAAAGGCAACTGTAACTCAAATAACTCGTTACAACCAAGGTATGCAGAAGAGCATCATGAGCGCACAACACATCCAACCTTGAGGCAGATGGGCTACAGCAGCAGAATATCATATTGGGTAACACTCCTGTCAGTTAAGAAAAGGAAACTGAGGCTACAATTCGCACAGGCTCAGCAAAATTAGACAATAAAATATTGAAAAAAAAAACGTTGTCTGGTCTGATGAGTCTCGATTTCTGCTGCTACATTCAGATGGTAGGGTCAGATTTAGGCGTTAACAAAATGCAAGCATGGATCCATCCTGATTTTTGTCAACGCTTCAGGCTGCTGCTAGTGGTGTAATGGTGTGGGGGAGATTTTCTTGGCACACTTTGGGTACATCAGTAGCAATTGCACCGTGTCAACGCCACAGCCTCCTGAGTATTGTTGCTGACCATGTCCATCCCTTTATGACCACAGTACCCATCTTCAAAAGGCTACTTCCAGCAGGATAATGCGCCATGTCATAAAGCACAAATCATCTCAGACTGGTTTCTTGAACATGACAATGAGTTCACTGTACTCAAATGGCCTCCACAGTCACCAGATCGTAACCCAATAGAGCAGGGGTGTCAAACTCAATTGCTGGAGGGCCGAAGCCCTGCACAGTTTAGTTCCAACCCTGCTCCAACACACTTACCTGTAGGTTTCAAACAAGCCTGAAGGACTCAATTAGTTTGATCAGGTGTGTTTAATTAGGGTTGGAACTAAACTGTGCAGAGCTGCGGCCCCTTTGGAACTTAGTTTGACACCTGTGCAATAGAGCATCTTCGGGATGTGGTGGAACAGGAGATTTGCTTCATGGATGTGCAGCCGACAAATTTGCAGCAGCTGCGTGATGCTATCATGTCAATATGGACTTAAATTTCTAAAGAATATTTCAAGTACTGTGTTGAATCTATGCCATGAAGGATTAAGGCAGTTAAGAAGGCAAAAGGGAGTCCCACCTGATACTAGTTGGGTGTACTTAATAAAGTAACGGTGAGTGTATTATGCTGCTTTTCACACTGCGAAATAGTTAACCCTGGGTTATTTTAAACCTTGTATAAACAGAAACCCTATCTCCCTTTACGCTTCAAACTGCTCTTAATTTCTCGATGGTTAATAGTTAACATAATGCTATTATATTGACAATTTACACTATACATGTTTCATAATTACACATTATAGGGTTTAGAATGATGATAATCAGGGTTTAACACAGTTTATGTATCAGGTAAATATCAAAACGTTTTACCCATGATGATGTGATGCAGTCACAAATGGAGTGCACCTCCGTAATGGAAAAGATCCTTGATCATAAACCACTTCAGCATGTAAACCGATTTGGTCATCCTGACACTCGACTGAAATCTGCACATGGAATGTTGAACACGTTATTTATAGCTTCCAAGTGTTTAAACAAAGATTTTGTTATCTATTTTAACAAACCACAACAATCTTAATTACTTTCTCAATGTCTTCACACTGAACTGGAACCTAAAAAACAGAGATGAATGTAAAAGATGTTCAAAATGTGAACCAATGACTAAAATTCCTAAAAAAAAGTTCCTAAAATAGCTTTAGCACTACAAAGTTCATGCGAACCTCTCGAAACCCCAGATTTCTAGATGTGACTGCGGTGTCTTCGGTTCGCCGTCTCGCCTACAGAAGATTTGACTAATCAAATTACTCATCAACAAACTTGTTTTTCAGGCTACACACTACAAACGCAGTTCCCATTTTGTATTAGTTACTTAATATTCTGATAATAACTAATTTTTTCCAACCAAACAAACCACTGGCTTCCGACATGTTAGCAGCATATGCTAATGCTAACAAATTTGTTATTAAAACCTACACTTCTGCAATAAAGAAAGCTAATTTTTGTGATATATAGGTTTCAGCTTTAACATTTCATATGTTAATGTATTAAGTGTGTAGAGTAAAGTTATAATTTTTAATTACCCTTCGGAATCCACGTGCCATGGTTGCTGTATGTCACCAAGTGATGTTGTTTTGAGTGTGCACTCTTTAAATGACTCATTTTTTGGCACTTGTTTATTGAGATGTATGGCGTCATTTCCTTTACAGTGTTATGAAGCGGCACACGTTGAATTATTTGCTTATCTGTAAACACTTGCATACTTTGAGATTTAGATGGGTGAGATTACTTTAACGCTGATTGAGCACAGCAAAATGAAGTTTGTTTCTATTTTTCACAAGAACCGCATCATGTAAGTGGTTTCGTAGGTGCTCTTTAGGTGGGATTTTAGTATGGTTAGGGTCAGGTTTAGTGGTATAGGTTTAAAGGTGGGTTAATGTGTAAAGTATGGCCAACAGTGTAACTATGAATGTAATTATATAATCTCATTACAGATGTAATTACATGCAGATATTTATTCAAGCACAAGTCAAATGAAAACATATGAGTTTACTCAATAAGTACACTGTAACTAAGTTTTAATTTCAAAGTAAGTAGATTTTAGTTATGGCCACTTAACAAGTGAGACCAAATTTTCAAAATGTGTGAGATATAGGACTTAAATGTATTTTGTAAAAGTTTAATGTACCTTAATTTATAAATATTTTTGTCATCCATAAACTCCATATCTGATAATATTTTTTCTTCAGGAGAAAGTCTTGTTTGTTTTATTTTTGCTGAATAATAATTAATAATAATAAAAAAAACATTTTAAGTTCAAAATTATCAGCCCCTTTAAGCTATATATTTTTTGATAGTAAAAATAATAAACCATCATTATACAATAAACTTGCCTAATTACCCTAACCTGCCTACACTGTAAAAAAAAATCTGTAATTTAAAAAAGCGTAAAATAACGACTGTTAAATTACAGAAATTTAACGTAAAATAACAGACATTAAATTACATAACATTATTTGCATTTAAATTTCTGGTAAACTTCTGTAATTCAACCTCTGTTATTTTACAGTAAATTTCTGTAATTTAATGGACGTTTTTTTTTTTTTTTTTTTTCACCCCAGCTGCCGGAAATAAACCATAAAATTCCGGAATTTATTTACAGTGTATTTAACTTATTTAACCTAGTTAAGCTTTTAAATGTCACTGTAAGCTGTATAGAAGTGTCTTGAAAAATATCTAGTACAATATTATGTACTGTCATTATGGCAAAGAAAAAAGAAATCAGTTATTAGAGAAGAGTAAAACTATTATGTTTAGAAATGTGTTAAAAAAATCTTCTTTCCGTTAAAAAGAAATTCGGTGACAAAAATAAACAGGGGGGGGGGGGGGGTAATTCAGGGGGCTAATAATTCTGACTTCAACGGTATATACATATGCTTAACCAAAAAAAAATTAGAGAAATAATATACTTAATAATATTTATTTAAATTTTTTTGAATATTGAATTTGATGTTATTTGTTTATATTGATTTCATTAGTCTGAAAGGTGCTTTTCAACCTTTTTAATCTTTTTATTTAAAAAAATCCTGATCAAGTTACAATTTCACACATTTAAAATATATTCATATATTCACTTCAAATGTAATATCGAATGACACATTGCAGTTAAAAGTACTTAACAAATAAGACGTGTGCTTTTGAAGAGCATGGCAAAAAATATTGCATTGTTATTAAAACAACATGGTTAAAACTATTGTTTAAACTATTCTTTTATTATTTAAATATAATAAAATAAGTGCAGATTATAATTTTACATTACTTTAAGTATATTCTGAAAGTATATTTATGCATGTTAAGAAGCTGAATTAAAAAAAGTAAAAGTGTGGTGTATTAAATTATATTAATTACAAATTATTCAAACATTAATTGTAATATTATATTACATGCAGTGCAGTGTTTTAATATTTAAAAACATCATATTTAACACTGAAGAACACATTTAAAAGAGTTAAGCCAGTGTCTACCAAAATATATAGGAGTGAAACACAGATGCTTCATATTTTTGCCTTAAAATACAGCTGAAGTCATAATTATTAGCCCCTCTGAATTATTAGCCCCCCAGTTTATTTTTTCCCTAATTTCTGTTTAACGGAAAGAGGATTTTTTCAACACATTTCTAAACAATAATTTTAATAACTCATTTCCAATAACTGATTTATTTTACCTTTGCCATGATGACAGTAAAGAATATTTTACTAGATATTTTACAAGACGCTTCTATACAGTTTAAAGGCCTAACTAGGTTAGTTAGGTTAACTAGGCAGGTTAGGGTAATTGGGCAAGTTATTGCATAACGATGGTTTGTTCTGTAGACTATCGAAAAATATAGCTTAAAGGGGCTAATGATATTGACCTTAAAATGTTTATAAAAACTTTTAAAACTGCTTTTATTCTAGCCAAAATAAAACAAATAAGACTTTCTCCAGAAGAAAAAATATTATCAGACAAACTGTGAAAATTTCCTTGCTCTGTTAAACATACTTTGGGAAACATTTTTAAAAAGAAAAAAACATTCTAAGGGGGGCTAATAATTCTGACTTCAACTGTATGTAATACATAAAATCAGTCTCTTACCACCAGGAGGCAATCTTGCACTACACAATGTGACAAAGTAGGCGCACAGCAAACATGCATCTTAGTAGTTCACAGTACCACACAAGGATGTGTAGAAAATATGGCAATCACAAACAAATGCATATTTGGAGACGAATATGTCTAAAAGGCAGAAAAAGTTATGATAAATATGAAATGCACAAAAGAAGTGGCTGTTCTACAGAGTCTACATATCCTCCGAGCACTAGAGGGTGATAGAGAGATTAGTTCAGCCCAGTGGGATTCCGGGAGATCCTTAGGGACAGGGTTAATCATTCTTGTGCCAGCTGCTACCTTGGATGATTTTCCAGCACTACTATTGATTTCAAAGTAAAGAAAGATTCCCTGCAGACAAAGGTTAATATATTTTATGAAAACTGCTGCACTGTTTGCTGTTTAGTTTTTTAGTGCTGTCTTGTTGGCATTTGCTAGTTAGGCTGTGACGTGTGAAAATGGCCACCGATTACATCATTCTTGAATTATACCCAATGCTGGTGTTAAGGCAGAATACTCAATAATAAATGAATGAATGAATGTCATTTTGGAGCAATTTGTATTTGAGTATGTTGAAGACTAAAGGAAATAAATCCATCTATGTATAATTTTTAAAGTTATCTCAAAACATGTACATTAATAATTTATTGATTATCTGATTGTTGGAGTGATGGATAGCCAGATGATTTGGTTGGTTGATTTTCACATGGTTTAATGTAAGGATGGATGGGTGGATTGATTGATTGATTGATTGATTGATTGATGGACTGATTTGGTTGATTGATTTATTGAAGGAGCAATTGTAGGGGTGATTAATGCGTGTATGTCTGGATGGATGGATGGATGGGTGGATGGATGGATGAATGCATGGATGATTGATTGATTGATTGATTAATTAATTGATTGATGTAAGGACTGATTGATTGATGGATGGATGGATTGATTGATGTAAGGATTGGTTGATGGAGGGACTGCCTTATTGATTGATGGATAGAATAACTCATTGATTGATGGATGGATGGATTGATTGTTTATTGGACTGATGGATAGATGAGTTGATTGATAGATAGGACTTTTTTACTGATTGATTGGTTGATTCATTGATTGAAGGAGTGAATAATGCATGTATGGATGAGTGGATGGTTGTATAAGTGGGTGGATGGATTATTGATTGATTGATTGATGGATTTATGGATTGATTAATTGATTGGTAGATAGATAGATAGAAAGATAGATAGACAGACAGACAGACAGACAGACAGACAGACAGACAGACAGACAGACAGATAGATAGATTGATTGATGGTAGGACTGATTGATGGATTAATTGATCCATAAAGGCTTGATGGATGGATGGATGGCTTGATGGATGGATGGATGGATTGATTGTTTAATGGACTAATAGATGGATAGATAGATTGATTGACGAAAGGATGGATGGATTGGTTTGGTTGAATTATTCATTGATTGAAGGAGTGATAAATGTATGTTTATTTATTTATTTGTCTGAGTGATGGAGAACCTGATGAGTTGATTGGTTTATTGATTAAATAATTGATGGATGCATGATGGATTAATGGATGGGTTGATTGATTGGATGATAGAAGGCCTGATGGATGGACGGATTGATTGTTTAATGGACTGATGGATGGATTGATTGATTTGTTGCTAGAAAGATGGATGAATTGATTTTGTTGATTGATTCATTGATTGAAAGAGTTATTCATGTATGTATGTTTGTATGTATGTATGCATGGATGGATAGATAGATGGATGATTGATGGAAAGACTGATGGATGGATATATTGATTGATTGATAAATAGATTGATTGATTGATTGATAGATTGATGGACTTGGCTGATTGATTTATTGTTTCATTGATTGAAGGAGTGATTAATGTATGTATGTATGTATGTATGTATGTATGTATGGATTGATTGATTGACTGACTGATTGAAGGACTGTGGTTGATTCTTGTGTTTAAACTTCTTCAAAAACCAATGAGACTTGTTCCAGAGCATCACACAGACTGACCTTCTGTTTATTTTGGCTCATCAATATTTAAATGTGAATAAAAACAAAATTGAATCTGTTTATTATATCAAGCGGCCATCTCTCTAAGATTGAAATGCATTTATTTAGTCTTTATGAACAGCTTCAGAGTTTTGGAGGGACAGAACTTTCTGAGATTATTAAAAATAACTTAATTTGTATTACACTCATATGGGATTGAAATTTGATGACAGGATATATATATATATATATATAT